CTATCCTCGCTTAGGGGGGGCGTGCTTGGCCTTTTCCTTCTGTCACACCTTCTCTGACCTTTTTCTCGAAAGCAGGGTCCTCTGTCTGTCCACGGGACGTCGACCGGATGCAGTCATCGCCGTCAAATCTTCACCGCCGTGTCGTCTCCCGAGATAGACGACCCACACGGGAGTCGAATCGCAGCTGTCTACGGCGAGCCGCAGCCAGAATGACTTGCGCTCCGGCCCTGTGTTCCACGGTGCGAATTGCAGCCCGGAAGCGGGAGTCAACACTCCGTGTCTCTTCCATTCCTCAAGTCCACACGGTCGAGTTGCCCCGCTGCAGCATTTCTTTCCAGCAAAATGGCGGGGGCAGTACTATTTTTACCAACTGGGGCCACCCTTTCGAAAAAAAAAATAAGGGAGAAAAACCTGGCTGCTTGCATTTCCCCATCGCTGGCTCAACTCGCTTGTGATTCACTAGTTTTCCTCCCCTCGGTCTTGGGGGGGCAGTCGACCAGGTCTTTGTTGCAGACGGGACGGGAGCTAACGAACCGAACAAATTGGACCCCGACTGCTGATCAGCAACACTAGTGTAGTGTAAATTACACGACTTTCCCTGTTGAAAGGGTTTTCGAATAATTTTAAACCCGCTCACGGCGAAAGGACGGGGTCACGAACAGGAAGGTTCTTACGCCTTACTGCTGTAGTAATAGTAAGTAGACTGGGCAAATAGGCATGAAAAGAAGAGGGGAGAAGCGAAGAAAGGAGATGCCGTCATGTCCATCCTGCCCCATCAAGTTCGATCCCGCTCTTCCCCAGGCTCCCAACGCCGGCGCTATTTAGTCTCGTCACGTTCGCGGTGCCCTAAACTTTAATTTAACCACCCTTTCTCTTCGAATACTGGTGGGTTTGCCGAACGTGAGGAGCATACACGACACCACCCACTTTGCAAACGGACGAAGCCTCTTGACAACGTCCCCCCAGGCTTGCTGTCTTCATTCCAATGATCATATCTCTACATACTATGCAGTACTTCCTGAAATCGACCATGTGGCGAGTCTTGTTTTCGACCACCTTAGTGTGCCCTACCTTCCTTCTTTCGAAGTTCTTACTGACGTTCTTCGTTGCTTTTGACTTGCCCCCGAGGTTTGAAGCCCCCGTCTTGGGTCTTGCACTTACATCGAAGAGAAAGGGGAACACTCGATGATTTTTTGCCAACATCCAATGGCGAACCAACCTCGCCCCCTCTCTCCTTTCTCGTGCTTTCGCGTGGTTGGTGAGCTAATGATCCCGGTTCGTCCTTGTAATTACCACATGGAAACAAGGGTAGGTCGAGGAACCCTCCGTCGACTCCGTCCGTCGTCGTCGACATCATCTACACTAGGTAGTACAGAGTACCCTACGCTGTCGTCGTCCATCCATATTTTCCAGAGTTTGGTCTTCCCCGTTCGTTCGCCCGAGAATCTTCATAGAAATTCGCCGTTTGCACCTCCCCTTGGTGAGCTACATAGTAACTCCGACGGTCATTAATGAGCGGTTGGAAAACAGGAGAGGGCGCGTCTAACTCAGCTCGGTCCAGCCGCACCAGCACCGGAGGAGGAGAACGGGAGCACATCTCGTCTGTCGACCGACTTCCGTGCCCCCCTCTTTCTTACCAGGTTGGAAAACCAGCAGACGCAGATCGTCGCACTGTATGTTTCCCAAAGCGTGTGCAACCCCACCTCAGATTGCTGGGATCCCTTGGCGAAGGAGAGTCCCTTCTCACAAACTCCCCGCTTCTAGTCCTCGCACACCTCGGAGCCACGACCATGATCAACTTCTCCATTGATTTCACGGCTGCTTCGTCGAGTCTCATTCGGCTGTGGAGATTTCCTGTTTCCATTCTCCTGAGTCTCCATGCGGCAATTGGGTGTCATGATAACCTTTTCTTTCTTTTTTTATCTCTTCACCGAGAGACAACTTAAAACCCACCAGGCACCTTGGCTCTTGTTCACACACCCCACCCCCCTCTCGTCAATCCCCGAGGACCATGGAGTTTCTGTCTCGTCCCATGCTGATTTCCTTCGACCTCCCATGTGGAGTCCCAGGAGCTGATGGGGTCGCGGGGGCTGGACTGAGCGAGACTGACTGGGCCGACTTGACTGGGGCAACGGAGCGGGGGACCTCGAGGGAAGGGGTGCAACATCCGTCGTTGCCCATGCCGTCGTGCCGTCTTCGTCATCTTGGCCTGTTCCGTTCATCGCTAGGAGCGCTTGCGGTTGTGTGAGTGTGAGTGAAGCGAGTGTGTGTGTGGTGAGGTTGTGCGGCAGTGCGGTCAGCCAGTCGACTTCCTCAAACCCATTTGCCACGACCTTCTTTTGTGGCTGCCTTTCCCCCGATTCTCATCAATCTTACCGGCGGGCCTACCTCTCCCGACCCGGCCGGCCGCCATACCTGGCTTCCCGCACGCCGCCACTTCTGGACTTTTTTTCCCTTCAAGAGCAGATGCATGCGAGGGCAAGGGCGCATGACGGGGAGAGAAGCGAAGGTGACAATGTGCTTCTCTTTTCTGAAGGAGGGCTTCTTTTCTTTCCAAGTTGCCTTCCTTCGATGGGCAGGCACACTGATTTCTGAAAATAATTAAGCCACGTCCATCTGCGACACAATCAACGTTTTTCTTGTGTGACACCGATTCGCGAGCCACGCCCCGCGAACGCATGCTAATAAGACCCATCTTGCAGCAGCCGGACCGAGAAGGGGCGTTGGAGAAGCAGGATCAGTCCCCGTGGTTCGAGTTTGTGGTCTCGCCGCATTGCCAACGTTGGAACAGGTTCGCGCCCGACTCAAGCACTGACTGACTGACTGACTGACTGATGAATTTGTCCAGCACCAGTGATGTGGGGGATTTTCGGGGCAGGGTCCTTCTGGGCAGGCATCTCTCCCGTTTGGTGGCGTCGCAGCCCCATCCCTGCTGAGATTTTTTCCCAATTGCAGATCCAATGAAACTAACGCCTTTCGGGAAACCCCCATATTTCCCCAAGGAGACCTCTTGGCTTGCGATTGCTGGATGCGAAAAAGGCGAGGAGAGGATGCCCCCCAGAGAGCGCCGCCCGAGTTAAAATGGCCGCTCGGAATGCGTCGCTCGGCTTCTTTTTAGGCGTCTCGGTGGGTTGTCCGAAGAGAAGAGCGCACGTCAATCACTTGAAACCCGAGTCGGCCCTCACAAATAACCGTTCGCCCAAGTCCACTCTCCCATCTGGACATGAGCGTCAAGTCTCAACAATGAAGAACCTCGAACCAGCGGGATGGGAACGATCGGCTGTGGGGTTACCATAATGCGTTAGATTTCGCAAGGAGTTCGGCCACAGGAGGGGTTGCGCCATTGGGTAATCAGCGTCTCCCAAGCGCATGGGTCCATCCGGCCGGGGAGTCGGGTGGTGGTGCTCGAAACCCCATCCATGATCATGCTCCCAACCTGACCGACCGGATAGCAATGCAACTAGGTACACTCACGTTAGACAAAAGGTGTGCTGCGAATGAAAAAGAAATGGGGAAGGGAAAATAAGAAAGGAAGAGAATATTCCGAGGATCTGGAAAAAGTTTCCCTATCCATCAAAATATCCCATAGTATTTTGTAGGTACATAGTCAAGTGGAGGTTGAGAGACGGCGCACCGGCCCTGTCGCGCTGCCGGCGTTCGGCAACGAAGAGGAAGATGTGCACAGTGCACCGTCCAACGTAACTGGAATTGTAAAATTGGGGTTTCTGTCATCGGCTTTCGAGACCCGACAGCCCCCGTCCTCCTGTCAACCCGCAACGCCGTTCTCGTCGTCTGTAGGTACCCCGTACCCGTTATCACAACAGCCCTCATTCGCCAAACGGGCCCAACCTGGCAGAGGGTGGTGGCTCCACTTGCGAAATCAGCCCCTGCTCAGCAGTTGTGTACAGAGAGCCAGCAGAGGGTGGACACCTGAAAGTCGCCCTGGGTCTGGGGGCCGAGTGACCACTCTCTGCGACTCTGCCTCAGGTCTTTCTGTTCCGCATTGCGAAGAGCTCTCAACCCCATCCCAATTTCCCTCCACCGTTCCTACCCCCACTTCGATTATAAAATCGCCCTTGGTCCCGCACTAAACTCAATTTCCTCCCACCCCGGCGCTGAACCCTCGGAAACCCTCGCGACTCTTCTTGCACAGGACGACCCGAACAAGCGTTCCGCCGCGACTCAACAAGCTCGAACAAGCTCGTCGTCACATCCTGCCGAGCTACTGCACGAAGCAGCCCGCTTTGGTGTGCGCCTCATGTTTCTGACCATTTTACCGGGTCGGGAACTAAACTTTACATCTCTGCGGCTCTGGTGCCCAACTAGCGAGCTAGCGTGCCCCAGATCGCACGCTAATCGCTTTCGCGGAACGCTGCTGTGTGTGCTTCGCGCTACCCCAACAAACCGAGCGACCAGACCCAGGCCATTCTCCTTCAGGTCTGCACGACTAAATTAGTGCGAGTCCTCGACCTCCACTCCCGGCGGGCATCGCGCAAGCACGCAGCACACACTCACACTCACACCTTTGGGTTCTCACACCCACGCATTCGCACATTCACACCCCTCCCCCTCCTCCACCTGCAACCCATCCTGGGTTGTTCCGCTGGACGACCAAATAAATCCCTGGGCCCTCCTGCCACCCAGGACAGTCGCCTTGGATTTTCCCCGGCCAAACCGACCGTGGTGTGCATATCCTTGGGAAAGCTATACATACCTTGAGGTGTCTTGTCTTGACCTCTTCCGACTCTTATTCACATCTCTTCTCATCGCATTTCCAATCACAACCTTCTCCGCCATCGTTATCACTATCACCATCACCAGTCCCATTACCATCAGCGCCGCCCCGACCGAGAGGACCGCGCTTGACCGAAGCACACCGTCGCGTCTTAGTTGTCGCGTCGATCCTCGAACCACACACCTAACCCTCCTCGCCCGGCAACGACATCCCTCCTGTCTTATCTTCCTGCTCCGCCCTCGGCACACCTCTTCGGTCCTTTTCTATGGAGCGCGCCGCCCCCGAGTACTCGCAGTCAGGTTTGCCTTCGCCCCATCCCAGTGTCGTCGGCGACACGCAGCTCAAGGCCGAACCCGTAGATCCGGCTTCCGCGACCCAGTACGCGACGCAGCAAGAGGCACGGTCAGCCAGCTATTCCAACTCGGGCACGCCCACTTCGGAATACAGCGTGTACCCGACCACCTCCCGGTCTGCCACCTTTCCCGACATGCAGCGCTCCTACCACCCCGCAAGTAACCCCAACGGGAGCGCAGGCGGTATGCCGCAAACACCAACAAGTCCGTCTATGCCTCTATCAGATGGGCAAAGCCATCAGACCCCCCAGCCAGAGCAGGCCAAATCTGACAGCGCTCTGCCTATAGATCCCTCCATTGCGGGCGCCAGCCCGACCTATGCGACTCATAGCCACTACCCCCCATATGCGCCCCCCCCGCAAGACATGTCCCAGGGCTACCAGCCGCACCCGGGCACGCCGGGCCTCTACACACAACCTCGCCCCGACTGGGGCGGCTATAGCCAGCAACCGGCCGGCCATATCACGCCTGGCACCCACATTTTCCATCAAGCGCCCCCCGCGACTGCCGCTACTGGCCGCCCTCATCAGGTAAGTAGTGTTTTTGGCTGTGTTGTGCCCATGTTACGTGGGAAAAATGCCACTTTCTCCGGTTCGGTGCGCAGACCTTGTCGCGCCAGTTCGTGACTAACACTGGGGGTTTTTTTTACAGGTGTATAGCTTCGTCCCTATTCCGGGCGCACAGCAGCACAAGAGGCCCAGGAGGCGGTACGAGGAGATTGAGCGCATGTACAAGTGCGGTCACGATGGATGCGAGAAGGCTTATGGCACATTGAACCACCTCAACGCCCATGTGACAATGCAGTCGCATGGTGTCAAGCGCACACCTGAACGTGAGTCTAAAACCATAGAGAAGCAGTTTTCACAGCCCCAACTAGGCTAACCTGTTGTGACCTTTCATGAAGTGTTCAAAGATATTCGCCGTGAGTGGAAGGCAAAGAAGAAGGACGAAGAGGCCCGTAAGGCCGCCGCCGCTGAGGAGGAACGCCAACGCCAGGCTGCGGTTGTTGCTCAGAACGGCTCGGCAGACCCGCAAGCTAGCGTGGATGCTACGCAGCCTGCGACGACGTACTCTGCTCCTGGAACCGTCCAGCTGCCTCCCATAGGCTACCAGCCGGCCCGCTATACTGGCCCCCCAACCCCCGGTATTCCCCAGCAGCAGATGCCCGAGTACAATTACAACAACTACTCGCCCGCATCGCCATATGGTCAGTCCAACCAGCAAATGTACACTCAGCGTATGTGTTTTTCTTGCTTTTTTTTGGTCTTTTTTTTGGTTTTTGGTTTGTGCTATGAGCTCACGTTGCTGACAAGATACAGACGCTGGTGGCCAGCCCCCCAGCCACTAAGACCAATTCCCACCTTGTAGCCAACTAGCTAGCACTTGTGGCAGATATTCTTGTCCCCTTTCTCTTTTCCCCCACGATTTCTCGTTCTTTTTGTTTTTGTTTTTACTCTGTTTTTTGTCTTGTTTTCCACTGCATCTCGAGTCCCGACATTTTTCATGGTCATTGCATGGAGTCGGGCATGGACAGGCGTGCATACTGCTCCAAGTGGGGAGCATGGGTTGAGTTGTTCTTTCACCGTGTGTTCTGGGCTGTCGGATATACCCCAAAAGGAGAGAGCAGGCGAGGGAGATGGGAGGGTGGGAAAGGGACGAGATGCAATGGGCACGGAGTTGTAATGCATTGCACGTCTTAAAGAGGGGGTTTCCTCACACGGGGTGTTTGTTGAGTTGGTGACTCTACCGTGGGCTTCCTGGCTGCCTAGCTAAGCGGACAATAGGCAAAGGTCTCGTTGTGGCTTGAGGAGCAAGCATGGGTTTGGAGAGTTGTAACAATGAAGGATTTGCATGTCTGGCTACTTTTTTTGTTCTGTTCTGCCCTTTAGCTTTTGCATGATTGCCTAACCTAGGCTACATGGAGAGAAACCAAGAATGGAGCGCGGTGTGAGAGGACCAAGGGAGATGGGGAGATTCTGGGAAGGGGGGGACGGGGGCGGAAGGCGTTCAGAGTTGGTTGGGTGGGGGGATGGATGGATTGGTGTCTGCGTATTGTGTACTTTATTTACCTTTATTTGCATTGCCCTTCGCTACTCTGGCGTAGGTGTGTAGCTGGCAGGCTTTATTTATTTGACTCATCAAGCAACCATCTAGTGATGCAACAACCGTGGTGATGATGTTTGGTGACAGGTGATTAATAAAGATTTTACCTTCCTTCTCCCGGGACGCTCGCCCATTGTGGTGCGCTATTTCGGATTTTGTGATGTATGGTTTATACAGTGATGGAGGAGGGGAAAATAACAGCTCACGCCAAGTTGGAATAATTAGCAAATACAGTACATAGTAACTAGTGTAAATCCGATGTTTGTCGGTTCTTCAAAATCCGATCCTCCCAAGCACTGTGGGAGACAGGGGTATACGCTCGCTTACTCCCGAGCCTCCGTCGGCCTTTGCCTTTTTGTCTTTCCAGAATCAGAGTACCGGGTCCTCAGTTGTTATTTGTACAGGCCGGAGCAACCAATAACCAAAACCGCTTGCCTTGTTTGCATGTGAACGAAGCAAAGTTCTTGCTATTCTCTGAACCGATATGAGATATAAGAAAGCGCTAGTTGGGCCCGGCCAGCTGGTCTACCTCAAGGTCAGATGGAGATATGTTCAGAGGCGGTTTGGGGGGGTTGCTTTTTGAAGGTACTGCGCTTGTTTATTCTCTAGAGGTATTGTTTCCCTGCATCCAATGTACAAGAATAGTGTGGGAACAAGCTGAGTGTCTGAGGTTCCTGCAGTGCAAGAGAGGTCGCTAAATATCTTAGTGTACTATGTATGCGCCGAGAACGCACAGTTCTAGGGGGCCACGTGGTAGTATACAAGAGTGAAGGGGGCGTGAACTGAGCAAAGTCAAGAGAGCTGTCAGCGAGTCGAAATGTTGCATTATTCGGGACATCCTTCCTGTTGGTGGCCAAGCTAGCCTTATGGGTTCCTTCTCCCACAGGTATCCCTTCCCTCTTCATCCCCCATGAAGACAAGCTAAGACGCGGAGAACCCAGGCTGACGGGATGGAGGGGCGGGACGGGAACATGCCCCTCGATCCGGGGAGATGCGGATCAAGACATTTTGGACATTAGCGCAAAACATTTATATGTGTGGTGAGTCCTGCAGGTTGTGACGGGTTGCAGATTTTTTTAGGAACCCTGTTTGCCCTTAGTCTTGTGTAACCACACCCCCAGGGCCCGGGAAGCGAACCCGAAGGAAGGGTCAGCACAAACTCGCGTTGAGAAGAGGGGTTTTGACTTCAGGATATATCTCCAGGTACCCTTTTTGCATCAAGGTGGGGGCGAAGAGGGACTGGCTCCTTGAATTGAGGACTATGTTCACGGAACGCAGAGATTCGAACGGAATGGTATGGCTTCCTCTGGCAAGAGGGATCACAGCATCGTCATCCTGGTGGTGGTCATTCTCGGTCACACATGGTGAGCCATGTGATGCTCTAATGGCGAGGATTCCCGGGGCATGGACAAGAGGGTCCAATGTTCCTTTCTTCGAGATGCAGCGTGTGGAAGTGATACCGAGGGGGGTCAGGCTCCTTCCTAAGAAAGAGCCGAGATGGGGGTGCAACGTGAGACCCAGGACCGGCAGGGGCCCATCTCACTCGGGCCGGGAAGCGGGCCGAGCATTTGGTTCGTTTCAAGTAGAGGTGGGGAGGCAGTTCGTGTTGGGTTGGGCGGTTGCAGATGTTGACGAACCCGCATTAGTAGAAGCAAGGTGGTAGGATGAGAAGCGTTGTTACCGCGGCTCGGCGGTTCGATTTCTCGAGAACAGGGAGTGCTTGGTGGGCCCGAAATCTTCTTTCTCCGGATTTTCCGGGAAATGCCTAGCCTGGGGAGCCTTAACGTTCTTATTTTCTCAACGGCTTTGGGGTGAAGGTGCATCGGGGAGTTCGGGCATCCATTTTCAACTCGTTTGAGAAGTAGCCTTCCTACCCCTGTCTCCCGACAAGCTCTTCAAACCCTGGGGGCCATGTGAGCAACAAGCATGTTCAGGGGTCTGGCAAACGAAACGATGAGGCGCTAACGTTATAAAATCGGTCTTGAAAACGAACTGTGGTTCGCTGTGGTACGGTACCCTCCCGCCAAGAAGCGACTTGGCGACTTCGAGGGGTCTCCAGGCCCCCCTGGTTTCCATGTTTGACCTTCATACCCTGACATGGGAATCGCCTTTCTCCCCGATCCGTGCATCCCGTTTCACAGTGACGCGGGCTCGGTCGGCATGGGTTGCGTGGGTATATCGAAAGGCGTCCCGTTTGGGGCGAGCCGATAGGGAAATGCTCGCTTTGCCCCCGAGACACCCCTCCCTGGCCCGAGGAATATTTCATGACTTCTTAAATACAGTGTCCCACCAGAGGTCATGGTGTTTGTCATTTTGGGCAAGGAGGCAAGCTAATGTGGACACCCACTGACTTTTTTTTGTGGATGTTCGACGGTATTACAAGAAGCAGGTGAATCGACCGGACTTTTGTCGAAACTCGGTATTTTACAAATACCATACATGATGATTCGTCCATAGCACACCACACGGAAACTTCCTGGGCAACGGGTCCTACTCCACCAAGCCTTGCCGACCAACACAACCAGATGCCGGATGCACAGAACAAGGAAACTCTAGGAAGACGAATTCGACCCCGAATCGATATCAATACACAGATACGATAATCAAAAAAAAACTCTCGGATCGCCCCAGAATTTAGACACCCGCCCCCCAGATGTACCCCAAGGGATTGTGAAGAGGCCGTTCACGGCGATCTCGATATGGCTGCGTCAACTGCGGCACTCACAGGCGCGAGCCTAGTTTCGCCCTCTCATACCCAACGCTCACTTCTTGAAAACGGGGACGTTTTCAGGTTGCTGCAGCTTCCTGAGAATTTTATCATCGGGCTGGACACCGTAGCCCTGACCACCAGCAAGACCTTCCACGGATTTCGTGATATCCCCCCAGGAGTACATTTCATCTGGGCCCAGCAACCAGGTGGTGTTTCTAGATGTGGATACTGGTTCGTCACTGGAGAGCGGGGGCGGCTGCGAGTGAAAGAATGGGATAGATACAACGAGGTGCTACGAGAACCACGACGCCAAGTTCAAGTGACCGACCATAATGACGACCTGGGAACAGTGGCCCAATTGCTGCGGCCATATGTCACCCAAGATCAACGCAACAGACCGAATGTGCCGATTGACAATGCCCTTCCCGCCTGGGCACAATCCCCCGCTACCGTCTGGGACACACTCACCACAGCCATATCGACGCAATCTCTCGCTAGGATCACAGGGAAACAGGGGGTAGAGGAATTTCTTGTCGATTTAATCGACTCAGCCCGAGACGTCCAACCCGACGAACCGAACCTGTCAACAAGCACCACTACTACCACCAACCAACTCAACTTCCTCTTCACCCAAGATTTTCGCGACCTCCGAATTCTAGACCTACGTTCTTCTTCAACAGCAACCACCTCCGAGGCCACCGATACCTCTCTCCGCGTCCAAGCCCTTCTCAGCCCCCACGAACCAAAGGAAAAAAAGCAGCCTCACGACGAACCGAACCCCAATCCCGAATCTTCCCTCCTAGCCGAACTACAATTCACCTTCCTCACCGGCACACACCTGGGCAACCCAGCCTGCCTTGAGCAGTGGTGGGATCTCGTCCTCAAAATTGTGCTACGTGCGTATGACCTCGCGCTGTCACACCCCAAGCTGGTGGCAGGCTTGCTGAGGACGCTGCATGCGCAACTGTTGTATACCGAGTACTATCTCGCATCACCAGGCGAAGCTTCTGGGGCTGGGGACGGAGCTAGAGCTGGAGCGTATGCAGGTGGAGATGAGGAGGGCGAAGGAAGAGGCTTGAGTGGGGATCGACCGATTTTTGTGCATAGGCCGTTGAATAAATGGAAGTTGGTGCGGTTACTGAGTGGGTATCGAGTGCAGCTAGACGGACTGCCACGAGGGGGAGAAGTGGATGGGACAGCGAGGCTGGAGGAGGTGGATGAGGTGTTTGGGGAGTTGGTGGGGTGGTTGTGGAGGATAGACATCGATTTGAGAAGGGATGAAGGAGCGCAGCAGGCAGGAGGGGAAACGGGGGGTGGCCAAGGTGGTAGTCGTCTTGGTGACGATCTGGATGCGGCAGATAGGGATAGTGAGGAGGATGAGGATGAGCAGCCAGTTGTGGTGGAGTTGGATGAGGAGGGAAGGGAGGTTGGGTTAGTTTCTTTCCGAGATTAGGGATGAAGGCCGTAGAGACCCCAAACTAGGCCTCGTATGTATGCTGCTGGGAGGGTCTCCCGATACCTCATCATGAAACAACTCACCAGTTGTGGTATTTGCTGCATGTACATACATCACGGAGGGTGGGGTGTATTGTTGAGCAAACCATGGCTATGTTACTGGAATCGTGACCTTGGTCGTATCATTTCTAAATCATTCTAGTGTAATTACATTGCCAACAACATTTTTCTGCAATTACTTTTATTCTTGGTGGTGTATTGGACTTGTTGTTTTGGAACTTACCTGCTTGATACACCCCTCGTCTAATCTTGCCTTTGCCCCACTGCACGTCACTCATTCAAGTCATCAACTCAACACCCATCACCTCCAGCACTTCTGCCTCAACTCTATCAAAGAAATCACCACATTTGCGAAAAATAACCCCGCCCATCCAGAATATACTTCCTTCCCATACCAATACAGAAACAGGGAATTCAACAAGACGACCAGCAAGGAGAATCATCATGTCCCGCAAAGGCGTCGGCCTCGCCGCGTTCGACCGCTCGCGACTGACTTCAGCCCAGTATGCCAGCCACGGGTCGTCCCTGCGCACTTCCAACGCCGCCGCCCTCGAGACTCAACTTGCCGTCTTCCGCAGCTTGTTACAACAGTTCGCGCAGACCCACGCCCGCGATATCCGCTCGAACCCGACGTTTCGCGCCCAATTCGCGCGAATGTGTGCTGCGATTGGGGTGGACCCGCTCGCCAGTAGCAGTAATAGTGGTGGAAGCGGTGCCGGCAGTAATTCTATTTGGGCGCAGTTGCTGGGGCGGTCGGTGAATGATTTTTATTTTGAGTTGGCGGTCCGGGTGGTTGAGGTGTGTGGTGAGACGAGGAGTGAGAATGGTGGGTTGATTGAGCTGAGCAAAGTGCGGGAGAGGATTATGAAGGCAAGGATGGAGGGCTCGCCAGAGATTACGGAGTGAGTTTGCTCTTGTGTTTCATCACCCCTCTCTTTACTTCTAGCAAGGGGCTCCTATCCCTATCACTCGGGTCATCCATTAATATGACTGACAACTCCGCAGAGATGACATCCTCCGGGCCGTCGCCACCCTCAAACCTCTCGGCTCCGCCTACTCCATTATCCAAGTCGGCCGCCGTCCCTACATTCGGTCGGTGCCCAAGGAGCTCAACACGGACCAGAGCGCCGTCCTCGAAGCGGCGCAGGTGCTAGGATACGTTAGCGTGTCGATGCTACGTGCCAACCTCGGCTGGCAACGTGCCCGTGCCCAGACGGCGTTGGAGGACTTGATGGGCGAGGGTATGTTGTGGGTGGACAAGCAGGCGCCGGACGAATGGGAGTATTGGAGCCCAAGCTTTATGCTGGGGGATCAGGTTACTGGCGGGGTGTGAGGGATAGGGGTATAAAGAAAGGATCGAAACGTTATTCGTCGTCCCGGGGATGGTGAAGGAGAGGAACACGGGGCTTTGCTTGTTCTCTCTCACTCCCCACCAGGCCTTCGCTCCGACAACACCTCCCACTATTCCCCCGGTCCAACGCAGCGCAGAAGAATCAAAACGGCTAGACTTGGGCCAGCCACCAAGGGCACGGCGTCCTCTTCACACTGCGGACTCCTCCGCGCGAGTTGATGAACCACAAATACACACATCAACAAGTTCCACGAGCAGACCGGCAAGCATATGACGACTGGGGGATCACCAAATATATGACTGGCGTACCTGAGGAGCTGACACGCTCATTGCGTTACTACGAAAGCACGTGAGGGGGGGTATTGAAACGACTACCAGATGGGACGAGGACGAAGACCGGTTACTAAGTACGGGATCAAATCGGCAAAGCTCCCGGCGACAAGTTTCTTGGGCATAGCTGGGCGTTGGTGCAAAAAGTGACAAGCCTAGACGAGGGGGGGTTGAAGACGGATGGAGTATCAGAGATGATGAGATGATGGTGTTGACTCCTTGCGAACACTCCGGTTTTGTTTTGTGTTGGATATCGAAGTAGCGTGATGATACCACATAAACATCATTTGTTTAACAACCGCAAGTACACCACAAGCCCTGGGGCCAATTATACGACTCAAAACGTACTTCCAAACTACCTTGGACATATTTGTTTGTATCTCATCTCATCCACCCTCACGCTAGCATCACACGCGCACAGAAAGAGCTAAAGATTCAGTCCATACCTGACGTAAAAAATAATAACATAAAATCCGACGAACATTATACAAGGTATTCCCATCCCCAAGAACCACCATTCAGTTCCATCCACCCGAAAACTCCCGCAAAGGAGCCGCCTGCCGCCGTCGTCACCGCACGCTTTCAGAAACATATATCACAATCCCGTCGTAACACAACTTAGCTAACCTGCCCGACCCCTCTTCTCCCGTTCAGTCGTTTGCGTTTTTTCACCCGCCATCCCCCCCACCCGTCCTGTGAAGATGAAAAGGGGCGGAGATGACGGCAGGTCGTCGGGCAGTGCCATGGTCATATCTTCGTTCCACACACTACATTGTGCTTCCAGTTGCCCTCGTCAACCCGCTATCTTGCGGCGCTCTCCTTCCCCCCCTCTTAAGTTGATAGCTTAGTAAGGGGGGTTAGGGCCGAGAGGCGGGTAGTCCTCGGGGCGGGGCCCGCCAACCGCAGAGTTGCCACCGGAGCCGCGGCCGCCCTCGCCAAAGTGCTTCTTGCGGAGAGCAGTGAGGCGCTTCTTCTTGGCGATGGTGTTGATGTACGTGCCGATGATGAAGGACACGAGGTTGAAGAAGGGCACCCAGGTGTGCTCGGGCAGGAAATACTGCGCAAAGGCCAGGCAGATGGGCGAGGTGATCCAGCTTACGCGCATGACACGCCAGAAGCTGACGCGCACCGTTGCCTTGACCTGATGGAATGTCCGGGCGCCGGCGACGAGGGACATGGCGACGAGGTAGACGGCGTTTTGGATGGGAGCGACCTAGAACTATGTTAGGAATTTATATTCTAGGAACCAAGTATTGTGAAAGGGGGTACGTACCACCAGGTTGCTGACGAGAATCTGCAAGACCTTGGCCTTCAGGCTGGTGCGGCCGCTGAAGATCTTTTGCAGCAGCCAGATCAGGAAGTGACCGAGAGGTGCGCTGACAAGAGCACCATAGGCGGCCATCTTAGGCACACGGGAAGTGAAGTAGTTGCCGTGCTTGTTGCGATCCTTGGCCAGCCACGAGGCCAGCAGCTCCTGGCTACCAGCCAGGGTGCCGGCCGTCAGCATCTTGGTGCGCAGCGGGTTGTCCTCTAGTTGTTTGAGGTAGGCCTAGAGGCAGAGACAGCATTAGCTAAAGCTTGGGGTTTTCCAAGCTAGGTTCCTTCGGTGTCATAATTCATTCATGACGCCTTGTCACGACGACGGGGGCGGGGCAAAACGTACAGCAAGATAACCCTTGGTGCCCGCATTCAAGCGGCCGCCGGTGATGGCCGTACCAACGACGGCGGCAACAGGGTGCTTGCCGGTGGTGCCGGGCAGGTTGCCGTGGGCCGCTTCCGAGATGGCGCCGGCGGTATGGCCGATGACGCCGCCCTTGCTCACAGCATGATCAAGGACAGCATCCTTGATCGCCTCTCTGTACGAATCCCGCTCGATCTTGACCGACATGGCGCGCGGTGGTTAAATCGACATCTACTAAGCGTAGGAGAAGCGGGGCGCGCGTGGCGGTCTGGATGTTTGGGTTTCGTAAGGTAATAATGCGTATTCTGGATATACGTGGTGTATGATTAGCCTCTTGCACAACTCCTGCGCCGGGTTTGCGGTGCGCTACGAGCTGGCGATGCGGCGGTTGCGTCGGGTCGACGGTTTGTTTACACTGGGGATTGCTGGGGGGATCGGGCGGGTCTCGATGTACACAAAAGTGCTAGCGAGCTTGCGTTTTTGTTTTGTTTATTTTCCCCGTTCCAGCATTCCTTTCCCTGTCGAAAAAAATAGGGTTTCGTTTGCGCTGAGGGGCACGCCAGACAGGAGAGAGGGGGAATAGGAAAGGGACTCACACGATTGATGGAAAGAAGAGACAGTTGTTCGAGCTGTTCGGGTTGGCTGGAGAGGGGAGAGAAAGCCGTCGTCGCAAAATCGGCCCTGGCCCGTCGGAAACGAGATCAAAGGGGAGGCTGGGCTTTTGCAGCAGGGGCTGGGAGGACTGGGGAACAAGCTGTGCTCCCCTGTCGCCCTGGGCGTCGCGACTGGCCCTGAGTGAGGGGCGCGTGTGGGGCCCGGGAAGCCGACCATAACAGGGGTTTCTGATTGGTTACTGTGTCCAATGGCCGAGGTTTTTGTTTTCCCCAGGCGGCTCTTCAGCTGGAACGAGGACAAGTCAGCAGCTGCTGCGGCGGCTTGCTTGCAAGTCTGGGCAAAAACATGGCCTAGTCCGATTGCTCATGAGCCCATGAAGCGCGGATCCCTGTCCGTGTTCTCGACCTCGGCCCACTCGATGGGGCGTTCCCTCGCGACGCGCGACGTCGGCCATGCCAGACAATCTTTGTCCATGATTGGCCCGAGGGCTGGCAAGTCTCTCAGTTTCGAAGTCCGATCCGATTCATACGCAAGAGAGGTCGTCGTCTTTGACCATGTTTCGCGGATCGAGCCGAGACCGACCCGCTGTCCTGGTTTGGGTGAACAAGCGCGTTGACCTCACGTCATTACAATTTGGCCGGCAAGGCGATTGATAACCGCGCTTCCCGGGCCCTTACAGCGGTGTATCTGAGCGTTGACACTTGCAATAGCTAGTTATGTAATATTCGTAGCTAGGCGTCCCATTTCAAGGTTGTTTTGGTTTGAAGTCTCAACTCCTCCCGTACATTCATCCCGACGTTGACACAATCCACGCCATAGGTATCAGTCCCCATTATGGCGTTTGTAGATGAAATATATCTTTTCACGTCCGGGAATACTTCCATTCTTCCCAAGGTTCATCGCTAGGTGTCCTGGTACTTACCTAGGTACCTGGTAGTCCCGGGGACATGGAGGAGACGAGGGAAGTAGCCGGTCCCGCTCAAGGAGAACGACATCTACGAAGGAAGTCGCAATAGAGGGAAAGGGCATCCACAGGCTCACTCGCTCACTACAGCTAGTTAGATACCTCTGTATCCGGACTTGCAAATTCCGCCCATTGCCATCTCAGTCACTTCGACATCATTGTTCCCACAATGGATGCGAGATGTGCTGCACGAACGTCTCTTTGGCAGCTGGTTGACGGATGGTTACGCCCTCATCTCTTACCCGTGCAGACAAAGCTCGCAGCCTTGCGGCACGCAACACGCTTTTGCACAGAGACCATCCGTTGCTTTGACTCCGGCTCCGCTTCTCTTTTATCTCATGCGAGAACTGACGGCATAGATAGCTAGCCAAAACTCTGCTCTTGCCCGCTGATGTCCTGACTTGCCAACCAACTTGTTCACATCCCGGGGGAAACGAGAGTCCCCCCGAGGCCCGGAAAAAATCTCGAAATGCTAATATTGAGCTTGACATTGGCGGATCCACAACATTTTTCTGCCTTTGACATTTCATATCATCCATTTCGAGATGGACGACCCCCCAAAAGCGAGCGGATGCGGTTTATCGGTCAGGACCGAGTTGAACTACGACACCGATGACGACGATGGCTTCCCAGCCCGGTCCCAGAGTCTTCCAAAATGGTTCGCGGCCCGGCCGGTGAGGTATCGGCGTCCCGATGTTGTGATGCCCGACTGTAAGCACTCGAGCATGGCGATTATCTACAATTCGCCTTTCCCATGTATGCGGTGCGGGCGAGTACCCCTATGCGGGATGCTGTACCGCTGTGTGGTAGACAGGGAACCGCTTATTATCGACGCAAGCGATAGCGAGATTCCGGTAAAGCAGATCTTATTTATTCGGGCATATGAGATGAGCTGTGGCTAAACAATGTGTCCAGGTAACCTACGACGATATCGGGCGCAAATTTACAGAAGAGATGTCTTTGGGGAAGTTTGGCCCCGACGTACGGGGCGAGGCGCTGAGCGTTATGACGGAGAAGTCTCTGGAGCAGCGAAAGTCCTATACACCAGAGCAGGTCTATACTCTTATAACACAATGGGAAAATGTGGGCACTACACGATCTGTTTTAGAAACCCGGTAATTGTTCTAACGTCGAGTCTAGGTCCACAAAATGATAGCCGACGAGAGAGAACATCTCGGGCTCACCGACGGGTTTCCCGCGAGGTACAACTATCCACATGATGACCAGCCATGGCTCCCACGTCGGGATTTTGAGTGCCAGTACAAGGCCTGCATGACTTGTCATAGCATCGGCCGACAAAAATCGTGGGTCAGTCTGGACGGTGTTTTGAACGGTGACATCTTGCCCACCGTTGCGACCGGCTTCTCTTCGAGCCCTACCCGCAGACGGCCTGTGGGGGACGCTGGGTTAATCAAAGACCTAGGATGCAGTGCCATCCCATTCGTAAGTGAATCTAGTACTCTACCTATCGCCCCCAGCCCTAACCGTGACTCAGCCTCGCATCGATCCCGAGCCATCTCCTGGGCCTAATGATCCTGCTTCAAGTACCAACAACATTGGAGTGTCCTCCACGCGACGGTCACAATCCTACAATCGAGGCTCACTACCTCCCCTTTCTTCCCGCCCCCCCATCCCCCAAAGGAGCAGCAGCCTCGCTGCCATTCCCCGGGAAATGGCCGACGATGTCGAAGAGACTGTGCGGACGGAAGTTTGCTACCCGGAGCACATCCTAGCGTGCTGGATTCCTCTTCCAGAGGTGGACGGTGATGAGCAAAGTCGGCTTTCGGAGGAGTATAACTTGGTACCCGGAGAGCCTCAGGGAGATACAGTCCAGCTTTCAGAACGACCACGTACGATGAGCGATGGAGTTGCGTTGGCGGAGGAGGCTCTCGATCAAGGAACAAATGATTTAGAGACAGCTATCTCGCTTATGGATAGGCCAGTGTAGCTCGAGGCGGATAGATACCAGCGTCTGATAGAGTCTGAGCGAGGGTAGACACAATACTTGGTGATAAGCGTTGCTATATTCCGCCACTTCCACATGATTTGACAATGACATGCGCCCAGTACATATTCATGACCATTATGAACCTCATGTTGCAAACACACAATCCGTGTTCCAGCTAAACGACACTTGCCCGCTCCCGTGCGCCCTACACAAACATGCACCGCTCTCACATTGGAATCGCTTTCATCTCCTGCAGCGTAAAATACCTTCTCATCCTCTCCGCTCCCAGATCCGCCACCTCCTGATCCAGATGCGCCAACAACACATCACCACACACATCAAGCTTCTCCTTCAACACCCCCAGCTCAAACTCACACTCCCCATCCTTACACCTCCGCAGGTACGCCGCCACCTCATCCATCCCATCATGAATAACCTGATGCTGCCTAAGAAGCTCACAAGACTCCTTATCCTTACCCCCCTTTCCTTTTCCCTTCCCTTTCTTCCCTCCTCCCCTAGAAGAAGAAGAAAATGGAGACGCGGAAGACCGGAAAGCGGGCATCTTGCGCCCTAGAAGCGGGTACAGATGGGTTTCTTCGATGGAGTGGTGCATTTCGAGGTAGCGGGCTAGGCGCAGGCCTTCGTCGAGGAATTGGCGTAGGCTCATGCCGGCAGGTCGGCGGCGGTTGGTGCAGGCGGTTTGGAGGGTGGTGTACATCTGGCGGAAGTGGTCGTGCTGTTCGAGGGGTGAGTATGGGGTCAACAGGGAGGGCATCCCGGGTGAGGGAGGGGGGACCGGGAAAAGGAGCGGCAGGTGAGGCCTTACGAAGTATTCCATCTGCTCCGCGAGACGGTTGTAAACGCGGAATTCTTGGGGGGTAAGGGGTGGGAGTGCCGGTTCAGGTTCTGGCTCTGGCTCTGCTTGTTGTTCTTCTTCCCATTCTGAATCTAGTTGTTGAGCCGGTTCCTGCTCCGCTGCCGTATCAGCAGACTGCATGTTGTCGGTCCGGACCCCGGGCTGGATCTCGGGCTGAGACTCCGGGCCGGAGTTGGACACGGAACAAGCTGACTCGCTCGGGTTCATTGCGTTTCGGTTCGGTGTTGCTTATACACCACCAATGTATCGCTTTTCTAGAGTGTCGGGACCGTACAATTTGCTGGACGGATTACGTTGGACCCGTTAATGACTTTTTTTGCCTCGTTTGCGGTCAGATATGATGGCTAGGCCGTATTTATCAGAATCACGTAAGCACGAGTTGAGTGAGTTGGAGATTTGGCGGGGCATTTTAGGACGAGAAACGCAGCGAATGCCTGTAAGTTTAAGGAGTCAGGTTGGCGGCTTTTCATATCACTTCTTGAAAGATATTGACGGAGCGGCTTATTTACTTTTCATTTTAGCGTCGTATTTATCACCACTTTTAGTGGCAGCAACCGTGACATAGTGTCTGCAACTCAGTTGAAAGAGATAAAACTACCTACGCGAGTGTGCAAAGCCAGAAACTACAATGAGTGAAGATATCCCCCCTGGCCTACTCATATTATTCCTTTCTTGAAGCAGTAAGTTGACGGCTGCAGAAGGGATCCTCGAAAAGGGGGAAAGAGTGTTAAAACATACAAACGAGGGGAGGAAAAAAGCTCGTTCCAATGATTGCTGGAGTTAGCACCATCTCTCATACCCCTCTATCGCCTTCGCCTCTCTTCTGCCTAAAGTGTTCAACAGCGCGCGCAAACCCACTCCTCGCGCGGATGCTTTGCTCTTTCCGCGTCTTAGTAGCCCTACCCTTCTTCCTCCCCCCCGCGCTCTTTGCCTCGGCCCTCTTCTTACCGGCCGGCGTCTTCGCTATTTGGGGCGGGTTAGGGCCGCCTGATTGGTACGGCGGTGCCTGTCTAGCATGAGTGGATGGGTTGCGGCCCTTGTAGAGGAATCGCGCAAGGTTTGGTCTGGCCTCCATGGATGCTTGTCGTGAAGCCGTCTTGAAGTACCCAGACCGGCCAGCGATCGTGGAGATGGGTTCATGAAATAGGGGCGTTTCGTACCCCGCCGGTGAGCCCTGGGAGACATGTGCCTCCTCGTCGCTGTCGGTTGGAGCTCGGCTAGATGTACCGGAGGGGAGCTGGGGGGACGGCAACGAGGCTTCAAGGTGAGACGAAAACTCATCTGCGTCAATCCGCCGACTCCTGGGTTTTGCGCACTCGTTGCCGTGGTCATCCACATACACCCGCCACGCCTAAAAGCCCAGGTCAGTAAAAAGTCACTGAGGCTTCGGGCTTATGCTTTGACACATACCTCCGGTGCTTTAGATGGCACCGGCTTAGTCTTGGGCCGTATTTCCGCCGGGCCTGAACGTCGACTTTTGGCATCATCGCCACCATCACTGGAAACACCCTCAGTGCTAGCGGCCGTTGTCTGCTCCATGAGAAACCTCCGTTTGCAACGTTCACATCCGCATTTGGGGCAACCAATCAATGCCTTTCGGTCACCGCGCGTGAGGAATTCACATGCCTCGACGAAGATCGAGATCCCCGTCATTCGCTTTATGGCATCCAGAAACTCCCAGCACTGTCCTCAGCTTTAAGTGGTTAGCTTATAAAAACGGTCCTTGAACTCGTGAGATAAAGGGAAAGCAGGGGGAATGTACGTTGTGACAGGGAGAATGGTCTAAATATATAATAGCCTCCCGCCATGCTAGCGGCAACCTGATATCCCCTAGCTCGGCTACCCGAGTGAGATCTGTTGTTTGTACGTTGGCATGTAGAGCAGCGATGACCCAAAACGTAGCTAATTTCTTTTCCTGCTAGGTGGTTAGTCCAATATAACTAGCGGCCTGACCATTGAGCTTACAGAATGAGACGCTGTGAACCTCCCATTGTGTTCTGGTAGGGATTTCCCGTTAGTATCACGGAACGATGCCTCCAGCTCAACCCCAAGCACTCTCGCTAAAGAGCCCACTAGCCTTAGATACTTCACAGTATCTAAGACATGTGGGCCTCGCCGTTCATTTGGAAGCCAGCCGCTCGTGGCGGCCGTCTTGACCTCGGGCCTGGAAACCGAGGCGATGAACCCGGTAGTCGCCATCTCAAGATTCGCTCTAGCGATTTCGAATTCTAGAGACGGGCGTAGGATCGTGAGGGTCTTTCCTTCCTTCAAGAAGACGGGCCTTGCATCTTGATGTTGCCCGCTTCGACGGCTGTACATAGGATTAGTTTGTTAGCAAATATTGCTTACCAAAAAGAGTTACGACAAAACATCCCCGCCTGTTTGAACTAGGAGATGGGAAGACGGGCGGGTTATAACGTCAATGTCCAACTAACCAGGACTCTAGTGCCATAGAATGCTGTAGGATCTTGGCTATCACTTGTCTCTCGGTGTGTTGGACGCTGGTCATAGACGGTAGTCCGAGGCGCTTGTACAACTGAAGCTTATCCCCGAAGGGGCTGGTCTTGGTGTGGGCGAGGGCATCTCGGCCTCGTAGGTCTCGCACTAGCACTGAGGCTCCATTCTGAAGGAGAAACCGGGTGATTTCAAGACGGCCGGCGAGGACGGCTGTCATTAGTGCCGTGGTCCCATCCATGTCGGGGGCTTCAAGAATTTCGTCCGTGTGTATCTTATCACTGAGGATTTCCTTGACGCGACCGAGTTGTCCAAGAATGATTGCAACATGCAAGTCGTTGAGGCCGTGAGCCTTAAGCTCCTCGGCTTCGGCTTGTGTCATCGCTAAGTCAGTTCGGGAGGAAAAGGCAGGTATCCCTCAAGAGAGTCTGTTAGCACGCGTTCTATCACAGTAGAGCTGACAGCTGTAACAGCTGGGCATCAGGTAAAGCACCATTTGAACGCTGAATCAAGAAATGTAGCACCAAAGCAACAACGCTATACCTACACCGAGTCGATGAGAAAGTCGGAAGAAGAATGCGAACCACAATTCGCTTCCGAGTCTGTGATTTCAATATTTTGATCGTGGTCAAGCCTGAAAATTACTATGAACCAAAACCGGTCCAGAAAGCGCCTTGGTTGGGGACAGAAAGGTTAGGAAAGAAATGTGAGGAAAGAAGGGGATCAAGTTTGAAAACCGCTAGAATATCTGAGAGGAACCACGCCTCTGTTGGCAAAAGTCGGAGAGAGGAGAGGCGAGTCGGGACAACGTGAAACGGAAGATGGTGCGCGAAGTGGGAACGCGAGAAGGCACGAGGATTGAAATAGAGAATGAGGGATGAAAATGGGAAGAAGACGGCAAGAGGTCGAGGAATAGAGGACGGGAACATTGTTATCGAGTCGTTAGATACGGCAAGTTTCACGTCGAGGAAGGAGTGGTACGAACGCAATGAACGAGTAGTATCAGATTTGGTGTGAACCGATATCAGCGAGGTTGACTGTGCGGGTGGAGACGAGGGTCAGGCTCAGATGATCAAGCAAGCCAGAAATCCCTTTTATAACGCCTGAACTAGATGCTACCGGGAATCATGACCAGTCCCAAACCACATGGTGCTTCCAGCCCTGATACCGCGTCCTTACGGCGTGGGGGCGGCGCTACACAAGCCTTCCCGAAAAAGGAGAATCTTCTACTCGTCATCCTCCTCCTCCTCTTCATCAGCCTCAGCGACCGTTTGCGCGATACCTGCATCTCAATTTAGTATGACGACAAGACCATAGTGTGGATTTAGCGAAACTCACGGTCAAGATCACGCTGGCCTTGTTGGGTGATGCGACGGCCACCCTTCTCCTCATCCTGCTCCAGAACCTGGATCTTCTCGAGCGACTGCAGAACCTTGCGGTCGACAGAGCCGCTGGCATCGACGTGGTGCGAGGGGCGCGAGCCGCGGTTCTTCGCGCTGCCATGGACCTTGCGGAGACGGCCAACACCGACGGTTTTCCTCAGGTAGACGTGGCGAGCGACCGAAGCAGCACGGACGTAGTACCAGTCGATGTCCTGAGGGGGCATCTCCTTGGCCGGCCCAGTCTTGACGGTATCGACCCAACCTGTGTAAGAGCTATGGTTAGATATGGTGGTCGTCGAGCCGAGTGGGAGTCTCGTTGTTCGGATCCGGGGACTAACCGGGCACAGGGAGCTTGCCCTGGCGCTTCAAGAAAGCCGCGTACGCCGCTAATAAACCGTTAGTTTTTTCTCAATGAACTACATAGCTGGAACGCCCAAGTGTCGGGTAAGGAACGGTTTTTGGCACACAAACTTACCGACGAACTTGTGAGCCTTTTCGCCAGTAAAGACAACACAATTAGCAAAATTCCGTCTTCAGAGATCTTTCGACCCCCTCACGCCTGCTCCCTTTCATCTTCCATATTGCTGCTGTGACGGCCAGTGGTAGAGGCTCATCACGGCCGAGCTTCGCTCGCGGCGAGTCGCACAGCGAAGAATGTTTCGGGTCTCGGTCGCAGAGGCCGTTTACGGCGAAGAGCTGCAAACACTTACATCGACATCGCGAACGGTGACACCTCCGGGCATTTTGGCGGTTTGTTTGGAGGGATTTGAGCGGAGACGGTAGGATTGATCGTTCGTGATGGTGCGAAACTGTCGCTGTGCTCTGGTCTCGAATTGAGGTGGTGTCTTGAAATTTTAGGGTGGGGAATAGTCTTGGCGCTCCTGCGAAATCTTAGGGCTTCGGCCCTTTGATCATGGGCTAATATAACCCTAACCCTTACCAGCCTGACCTCGCAGCTTTTGATTGTGAGGGGTCTGGAAGACAACTCTCATTGCTGTGAGCCCCCAATACTCCACAAGACGCCGTTCCTCAACAAGGCCGTGTGGCCGGACCGGGCCGGGACTTTTGTCTTAATGTTGAAGCATCGAGGGGTAACAGCGCTTAGATTCAATTTTCACCTATTCGTATAACTAGCGACCAGCCGCTCTGCCGACTTCTGTCCTTGACTGCTCAGGCACTCGAAGACGTCGCAATTGACTCAACTGATGCCTCGGGCAGTACCAGTCTTACGCCTCGTCGTTATTTCCAGCTCTTCTTCATGTAGGAAACAGTTCGGTTCACGGATGACTGTTACCTATCAATCTACACGTGACTCCCTTCAATCTTCGGCGGGCACTGCGGCGGCAAGGGCAGGTGAGGTTTTTGATTCGGCTGACAAGAGGAAAAATGAACGACACCTGTTTCGGCTGGGGAAGGGGGCCTCGGAGATGAGACGCAGGAACAACGTGTCTGCAGATGCAAAGCATTATCACCTTGTTTCTTCCTTGGCCCCGGCCAGCGAAACATGGGACGACTCCTTACACCTGTCATCCAATTCCGTGCAGTCCACCGAACCATGGGGCTGGCGTGGGATGTGAATGAGGCCTGTCGTACCGGCCTTGGCGAGCGCCTCCTCCCGATCTCCGACGACATGTGTTTCATCATCTCGAGGTCGCTCTCCCTGCGACCACGGTTTTAAAAAAGAGACCTTCGATGAATGGGTATACACTGGCGCCAGAGTGGAGGAATAAAATGATTTTCATGATGCGCCACCGGGATTAGTGGCAATCGTTCGTTCCCTGGGCCGTTGACCAAACAACCACATGGGCTGCACGGGTTACCGCCGCCTTGGTGCCATTTTTCTGACTGCATCCAAACGTTCAGCTCCCGTTACGTGGTCGGCAGCGTACCACTAAGGGGAATGGGTCATTCGCCCGACTTCGTCCCTAGTCCACCTCTAGCACCCCCTTGCCTCCACGACATCCGGCGCGAAACGGCCATGTTCGTGAACCTGCACGTTGCGGGGTAGGTGAAACTCTAATCTAGGAGCTAGAAAGCCCCCCTAGATTCCAAATATGGGACTTTCCTCTTCCCACGGTAACATTGGATGTAAGCGTCAATTAACTCCTGGACGCGCCCAAAGCTCGTGAAGGACAGAGTCATTATGGATAAGTAGTCCCAACTCGGTCGCTGTCCCCTGACGTTGGGCCTCCGCCACCGGTCTCTCTCTTTCCCTAGGTGTCGATATTGAGGCATGATGTGTATGAATATTGTCTTTCCTTGACACTGCCTTTCCGTTCCTTTTTCGAAGCCTGACTTACCTGCGGTGCGGGCATATACCTTCGTTTCTTATTAGTTGATCTGGCGTCAACCCCTGGCTTAACTCACACGCTCTTTCTCCCGGGGCCCCATCAGCATCATGGCCCCTATTACTCTCCTTTCACTACTCACGTGGGCTACTCTCATTTACGCCATGCCTTTCCGTATCCGGGCGGTTGACGCATTGAACGAGGAAGCCACAGCAGAAGCCCAGCAGCGCGATGCTGGTGCAACTCGAGCCTTTTCCAACGTTCAGATCAAGGTACGAGCTACCTCCATGCTTCACAGACTGATTTTGTCTAACACGAAACGTCAGACTTCCGATGGCAAATGCCTTTTTGTCGATAAACTGTCAGGAGACTTCCGTGCCAACCTCACGCCTATCCAGGTCGCCGATTGTGGATCGACCGACGGGCAGGGTTGGGATATTATTACGGCGGGTAAACACATCAATGCCGACAATGCTATGCTCATAGTTAGCACCTTGACACAAGCGTGCTTCAATTTTGATCCCCGCCGGGCTGCCGGGAATCAGGTCCTTCTATTTTCATGTGGTGGGCGTGCTGATGGAGGTAAGGTGCCCCTGTCCCACCGAAGACTTCAGAAACTGACGATCGTGACTTAGGGGGCGAGGTTGCTGATTCGCAGCTGTTCGCTTTCAAGGGTGGTGCTGGCCCGCTTTCGCTCGAGCCGCAGAACCAAGCCGGGTCTTGCCTCGTTGTGAAGGGGAACGCCATCGACATCGCCAACTGTGGCGGCGGTGGCGCCGGCCAATCTTTCAAATTTGGAGATGCCGCTGGGGGTCAAGTTAACACTCCCGGAGGTGAATCGTCGACTACTTGCACCAAGACTACTCGAACAGTAACCGCCGCGCCCTCCCCAAGTGGTGACGGCACAGCAGCACAGACGGCGTCTGCAACGCAAGCAGCGACTACCGGCGCAGCTGGCGGCGGGAATGGAAGTGGAAGCGGAAGCGGAAACGGGAACGGAAACAATAACAACGCCAACATCCCAACCGCTAACCCCACGGATCCCGTACCTGTGTCCCGAGCCGGCGGCACCCTCCAGCCTACCGCTGCCGCCGAATCACACCAGCGTGACGAGACGGCCAAGCGTGCGTTTAGTAGCGTGTCGATACGTGCTCCTAACGGACAGTGCCTGTTCATTGATCCCACGGCAGGCGACTTCCGCGAGAACTTGATCCCGGTATCGCTAGTTGACTGCACAGGGGCGCCAAATGAGAAGTGGGATGTCATTACCGAGGGAAAACATAATGCCCCGAACCCGCAAAAGCCGGCGGCTTTGGTTGTAAGCGCTTTGGTAGGTGTATCTAACCAGACGAATTGTAAAAAGTGGTGGTTGCTGACTCTGCTTTGCCTCCTGATAGACTCAAGGTTGTATCAGCTTCGATGGAAGACGACAACCGGGCGATACGGTCACTTTGTTTTCATGCGGCGGCCGTGCCGACGGTGGTAAGTCCCCTAGTATCATTGCCAACCAAACTTGACTTTAATTTTTCGTTCGCTTCGCTGACCGCCCGTCCTTAGACGGCAAAACCGACGGCAACCAGCTCTTCCCGTTTATCGGCCAGACAAGCTTCGCGCTTGCGCCCAGCAACGAGAACAACAAGACTTGCATTTTGCCTGGTAATGGGAGGCTGGATTCTGGGCCATGCCCTAGTGATGGGTCTCAGCTGTTCTCCATTTTCGAGTGAGTAGGGATACATGTTCCTATAGGTGCGCACAGAGGAGCGCTGGGAGTGGAATGCCGGGAACTCGTAACTTTCGGCCGTCTTGTTCGATTCGGGCCATGTATTCTAGCCATGTTTTTGTAACCGTGGAGCGCGTGTTGTATTTTTAGTTGCCCCCTTCGGTCAACTCGTTAAGTGTGATCTTGTTGAGTCTCGGATTGGGGTCGGGTTCCTTGTCTTGAGAGACATGTTTTGTTGCTTGATATATCTGGAATCGTCGGGATTGTCGTTGTCTCCATCAAGGGAGGCCGTGTCAAGTAATAGTGTACCCAATCCAATTCGCATCATTTCCCATTAACTGATTAATCAAAGGCGGACAAAGTTTGGCGGGGTGCTGCCCCACTTTAAGCTCCGTACTCTCCGACTGAAGAGCCCCGAGGGAGCTCCAGGGACCTGACATCATGCCGAAATTTTATTTTCCGCAAAATCCGCTTGGTCCGCAACCCTGAACCGAGCGGCGAAAGCTCCCGTCCGGCGCATCCCGACAACTCTGGATATCCCGTCCGAAATAAAGACGCGGAAGAGCTGTCTATAGCCACGATGCCGAGCTTACGGTGCGTCGATGCGCCTGCAACGGCCAGTCTCTTTGTTCACCTCAGCATGCATCGGCAACCGCTCACATCCGGCGTTGCCCTCCCTATCCTGGACCTCTTCGTGCCCATGCGGTCGAGGGCCACGATGGCGCCCCGGGCACCTTCTAGTCGGGCATACTACGCTATACCGACGAGTTCATTAAACGGAATACGCCGTTCTGCGCGCTACACATACATATCGAGAACATTACTCCCACCACAGGTCGCATCCCGCCAACACCCGACGATAACACCACTCACCACGACCGTTCCCTCCACCCGTAGTTTCACGAATTCTGTCCGTCGGCACGCAACTCAAGCCCTGTTCAACCCACAAAAGGACGAAGATGGTAATGAAATGGTGCTGGAGATCACCGAACGCGCAGCCAAGGTACGAAAGTCCCGTTGGCATACCCATGTCCGGGCGTGTCTACATGTGTGACTAATACCTCCGCCTCTCCTCCCGTTAGCGCCTCTCCGAGATAATGGCCAAAGACTCCAACCCCAACCTCGCCCTTCGTATCCAAGTCGAGAGCGGTGGTTGTCACGGCTTCCAATACCTCATGAAGCTCGTCACGCTCCCGTCCTCACTTCCCACACACCCAGTTGCCGTCACCGAAGAACAGGATGCAAACAATACCTCGGCCACCATCAACGAAGACGACACGATATTCACATTTGCATCCGCCGATGGCCCCAAAGCGTTAGCTGCGCCTAAGATTATCCTCGACTTACCGTCATTGGAACTGCTGAAGGGGAGCAAGGTCGATTTTACTATGGAGCTTATTGGCTCACAGTTTAAGATTGTAGACAATCCACATGCTACAAGTAGTTGTGGGTGTGGGACGAGTTTCGATATCAAGATATGACGCGGTTCCCTACTGAATCTCGGTGCTTGAAAGTTGCTGGGGTTGGGGTCTGGAGCGGTGGACGTGGGATATGTACACTACGAGAGTCATGAAGGTGAACATAACATCAGGCGTGGTACCGTGGCACAATGGTGTGGTATTGAAAACGTTGACAACTCTGTGGCATTTGGCCGTCCCTGGTCGACGGGACCGTGAACTAAAATCACAAGCTCTGAGGGTGAATAAGATGTGGTACGCAAAATGCGACATCAAGTTCAATTCATTCCCTGTGTTAACACCAAGCGCCTATGCCACTTCCCATGACCCGAGAGACCAAAGCCGTAGAACCATTCAAACCACCCCTTTTTTTTTAGTTCATCTGGCGGATGAGGGCGTTGATGTGCTCCTCACGGTTGCCCAGATCACCACCCTCAATGAAGTGCTTGAACTTGCGGGTGCGGAAGCCGCCGTTGGGGTTGCTGAGCTTGAAAGGCCAGAGGAAGTTGGAAGCCTGCTTGAAGTTGGGCCCAACGGTGATGATCTCGTGGATCAGGTCCTCCACGCAGATGATGCCGTACTTGCCGAGGTTCTCCTCGATGATTGCGTTGTCCGTGAGGGGGATGCGCTGGCCGTTGACCTTGCCATAGCCGCGCTTGTAGACGAGCTCCTTGACGCTCTTCAGGTTGGGGTAACCGTAGGCAACCCACGGCTCGACAACCTTGATCATCTCAGAGGTCGCCTTGGTGACGCGAACGAACACACCGTTGTTGATCTGGAGAAGACGGAGGAGCTGGAGGATCTTGCGCGGCTTGGGGGGGATCTTGTTGATACTGCGAGGGGGGTTAGCATGCTAGTCACAAACAACCATGAGCCGTAGATGTTGGCTTACCCCTTAATGCGGATGACGAAAATGAGCTTGGCCTCAGCAGGGATATAGAACGAGCCATCCTGCTTGGCAGCGCGAGAGAGGCGGACCTTCTCGCGCTCAGCGTCGCGGTACTCCTTGACGTACTTCTCAGCACGCTTGAAGATAACACCGCGCTTCTCCTTGTTGGCCTGGATGGAGGCAAGGTTAGCAAATCATCGCGATTGCTAGACGAGTGCCAGGAAAAGAGATTCCCCCATAGAATTCGATCAGACCCGAAAGATGGTTAAGTTTAGCAACAGCATTGACGCTTGGTCTAGTCGCTAGGTGTTGTTGTGCATCATGTCGTTCCCGGGAAATGGCTCAAGGACAAAACACTAACCTTCTTCTGCTTCTCCTGCTCAGCAGAACGCTCAGCGCGGGCCTTCTCCTGCGACTTGCGCTTCTTCAGGAGGGTCTCAGGAACGAGAACATCGTTCTGAGTGGGGACGGACCTGCATGTTCCGATTAGTTCGTAGTCCGGCATACCGAAGTATGTGGTAGAGCGCCGGTGGAGAATTGCTGCTCAGGTGCGACATTCTCTCGTGGCTGACTCGATTGTCAATAGGTCGACTGATGGGATGCCTTTGGCGGAGTAGTCATTTCTGAGCGACTCGGGACCAAGAGCCAAGTACCATCTCGCAACACACCCTGAGCGACGCCCAAGACAATTTGCTCGCACTGGCGACCGAAACTTCCGCGTTAGACACGCGGTCTTGACGGGTCGGGCCAGGCGGCACTGAATTCAAGGGAGAAGGCATTGAAGGGCCTTCAACCCCAACACCCCGCGGCACATCTCTCAATCTGCAGACCCGTCTAATCAGGGCCTGGAGGAAAGAGGGAGAATCGCGGGAGGGATCGAGCTGGAGCGATGCCCGGTTCGCAAGACGAAGCCGGAAAAGGCATCCAGTGAGAGGACCACGCCAATCTGCAGAATCTCATATCAAGTTACACGCGACGGTACCATCAGGGATTTAAAGAATGAACGAGGAATGAGGCATACGTGGAGGCCATCTTGTTTGTTGTCGACTCGGCCGGCGGTTGCTAAAGTTGTCGTCTGCACGGTTCACGGTCAAGGAAAAGAAAATTCGCTTCAGTGGGCACAAGAAAAAGCCCGAGCGATTGGAAAACAGTGGGGCCACCATAAAATGGTATTTAGGGCTTAAGACAGAATTTCCCTCCTCAAACCCCGCTTTCTGCAGCCTCTCACCGCCAGCCACGGTAGGGCATTCTTCACCGCACCCATCCAAAATTCCCGACGGTTTCCCGCCGAGCGGAACATCTCGAAGGAACAACATTCACAAGTCCCGAAACCACTGGATCACAGTCAAGATGGCCCCCCCTAAGAGAGCCGCGCGCCCCGCGCAGGAGAACATTTCCCTGGGCCCCCAGGTCCGTGAGGGCGAGCTCGTTTTTGGCGGTAAGTTCAGCCATCCCGCCGCATTTTCGCGATCGTCGCTAATAGCTTCGATTTATAGTTGCCCGCATCTTCGCCAGCTTCGTAAGCTGCCATTCTTTCCCACAAGACTCATCTTCGCAGACGACATGCTGACCGAACTAAATTAAAGAACGACACCTTCGTCCACGTCACCGATCTCAGGTTCGTACGCTATTGAACACCCGAAATTCGATGTCAGGGAAGCGAAAGGGGAAACACTTGCCCTCCTTCCCTAGGCGGGCGATGAAGCAGAAAAAAACAAAATGGTTCTGAGGCTAACGTTCTGGGTGATTCCAGTGGCCGCGAAACCATCTGCCGTGTGACCGGCGGGATGAAGGTCAAGGCCGACCGTGACGAGTCGTCTCCCTACGCCGCCATGTTGGCTGCCCAGGATGTCGCGGCGCGCTGCAAGGAGCTCGGCATCACTGCCCTCCACATCAAGATCCGTGCTACTGGTGGTAAGTCAAGCCTGAATCTGCCCTATCTTCCGTCCCTATGGGCAATTGCTGATCGACGATTCGACAGGCAACGGTACCAAGACCCCTGGCCCTGGTGCTCAGTCGGCTCTTCGTGCCTTGGCCCGCGCTGGCATGAAGATTGGCCGCATTGAGGACGTTACCCCCACGCCCTCTGACTCTACCCGCCGCAAGGGTGGTCGCCGTGGTCGTCGTCTGTAATTGTGCAGACATGGGTACGGTGGTGGCAAATCTGGGGAGGATTTCGGTTCTCGTTTGGGCTCTTGCTATGGTGTTGACAATTACGAGGAGAACGGCCTGATAGTGCCTGGTCTCCAAATCCTGGCGTTTGTCACATGTTGCTATTTATGGCATACCTGCAGCTCCTGAAAATAGAGAATCAAGCCGGCAGCTACAGCGGTAGCCCGGAACAACGCTGCCTTGCGTCGAGGTCACCAGCAGCTCCGAGGCCATCGGTTCTTTCCCAGAAAACAATCATCACCGAGGCCTTTGTTCCCGTTGCAAGTGACACCATTGGTTAGTTACAAGTCCTCATACCTCTACGCCAGTGGAATATCGGTGAATGTGCATGTCCTTCGCGACATGATTCATCCAAATCAGCCCCAGAAGTATCAAACGAAGAGTCAAATTCTCCTGGTTTGTCCGGCACTGTAGGTATCGTGAAATGGACAACAGTAATCCACACCCTTCGGCGCCCGGAGGAAAAGGCTTCATCCACCACAACCGTTTCGTCACACTGAATAGTTTGAAAATGAAGTTCATGATTTTGCGTATTTTACCCCGCGTCTACCGTGGCGCGAAACATTAACACACCAACCGGATCAATCTCCATGCGAAACATGCCCTAGTTCCTAATGCAATAGGAAAATGAAAGTCACGCAAACCCCCATCACCCCAAGCTCATTTTGCACTACCCACGCACAGCGGCACCCAAAGCACCGCCGGTGAACTGGGTGCCACCGGCCTGTCGCTGCGCGTTACCACCAGTCCTCGCGCCGCCCCTTCCACCCCGTTGCCCACCACCCCGTTGGCCACCTTGCCTTCCGTCCTTCCTGCTGAAAGCGTTCGCCGACCCTTGAGTCCTGACCTCAAGAGTGCGCTCGTTGGTTTCGATGAGGGCGCTGGCCTTGTCTGAAAGCGCCAGGGCGAGGCTTTGTAGACGGCTGAGCTCTACACCCTTCCGGAAGATGACGGTGTTGGTGACCTGGTCGAGCGCAGCGGCGAGCTCTTCATGGCTGATCATCTTACTGACTACCGCAGCAACCTTGACCGAATCAAGCTCGAACATTGTGCTCAGGGTCTCGATAGCCAGGGTGTCGTAGAATGGAGCATAGGTGAAGAGGTACGTCCGGAGACCCTCCTCCTGGATCTGCTTAGCGAGCATCGCCTTGATCTCATCCGCACTCGGCATGAGGTCCCAGATCTTGATGCTGTGGATGAAGTTGGTGGCCTTCTTCCACTCGCCCGCTGCTAGCGCCTTAGACGCTTGCATGACGTGGTCACGGGTGTTCTCCGGAGGACCGGTGAAGATTTGCCGTTCATGATATTCGAGCATACGGCGGTATGTCTTGCTGATGACGCGCTTCTTGATATCCGGCGAAGAGCCAATCTGGGCTAGGAGCGGGATTTCGAGAAGCATGCTGCAAGTCAGGTAGACACACTCGAGCAGCTCGAGGTTAATGTGCATGTGAAACGGCAGCTGCCGTTGCTTCTCCAGACGCTCTTGCTCTGGGCTGACCTGGTTGAAACGCTGGATCATGACCCCCTGAGCAAGTAGCTCCTTCTGGCGTCCACTGCCGCAGATATCCTGCAACGTGTTCTGCGCGTCGTAGACAAGACCCTTGCGGAAAGCGCAAAGGCCGACTTGAACAAGCGTCCGGTTATACAGGATTTGTGTCGCAACATCAAAGTTGGCGATGCTTTCCTGCAAGTGAGAGGTGAGCATCATGTCACGGGCCTTGTAATAGTCATCGTGCAGAGCTAAAAAGTAGATCTGGCAGAGCATGGCGCGGGCCCTGATAATGCCCTCGCTGTTGTCAAACAGATAGTTGCATAGGACGTAGATTAGCTGCCCAGCATCCCCGGTCTGGCTTCGCGGCGTGATCACAGAATCAGCGGCACTTGAAATTTGTTTCCAGGCATTCTCCTCCAGGATCTTGACAACTTGAGACGGCTGGGAATAGTTAGCAAACGCACAAGAGAAAAGGACAAGCACACGTGCTGCTTGAAACTCCATACCTTGAAGTAGACGTGATCTAGGCGGCGTTGGATGATCCGGTTCACGCTCTCTTGGGGGATCTCTAGGGAAGCGTCCTTTCGGATGGTCTCGTAGTAGAGAAGGCCTTGGAGAATGATGTTGTACAGGGATGCCTCATCCGTCAGCCTCTCAATGTACTCGGATGTGTGAGGGTCGATGCTTTGGAGAGAGCGAGTGAGCTCATCGTCTAGGCGCTCGATGTAGGACACGATGCTTCCGGGGACCTTGATGTACTTGTCGTCCGGTCCAAGAACAGGGGTCTTCTCGTCATCGTCCCACTCCTCCGCGCCCTCGACTACCACGTGGTCCTTGTTGGTCTCAAGAATGGTGAGCAGGGCCGCTAGTTCTTTCTCGGCAGCCTTCCAGTGTTCTAGGGGCATTGAACTTGTCGTACCAGAGCCGAGGTCAAAACGTGCTGAAACAAGTGTTTGAAGAACGCGGATCTTGAGGTACGGGGTCTCGGCAACCTTGTTGAGTTCTTCCATAATCTTGATCTGTTCAGCCCGGTCGGTGTTTTTCCTGCCTCTCGACTCGACGATGGCGCGAAGGTGCTTCAGGATACCCTCGGAGGAGTACGGGACGGCCTTGCCGCGGCGGTCGACCCTCGCAAAACCACCGTCCTCATCTTCCACGGGCTCCTCGGGCGCCACTACCTCTTGGAACCGAACCCTCGAGGGTTGAGGCGCAGGGGCCTCATCCTCATCAGACTCCATGAACGCATCGCTGTCCTTCCTGAACGCATCGATTTGAGTTTGGTAATCCTTGTTGTTTTTCTTGATGCGTTGCTTGACAGCGTTAAGACCACGAGCATTTGTGGCGTTCAACTTCTTGTTCTTCGGTGTGACCTTTTGTTTCGCTAGGGTCTCGTTCAAAAAGTCCTCCAACTCGGCAATACATTTGATGTATGACTTCGGAGCCTTGCCACCATCTTGAAGCTTGACGACCTGGCGGTTCAGCTTGTCAAACTCTGGGACTGGTTAGAGAATCATGGACACCGCTGCGCTCGAACCCCTCGAATTTCAGGGCAGAGAATTGACCTACCATTAGCGATAGAACCCCAATCATCGATTTTCTGGCGGTTTTGGATCGTGGTGATTGTCGCCTCGAGTTCGTCGAATCGTTTGTCCTTGGCGCTCTTGACTTTGGTTGCACCCTCCTCGTCACTCTGTTCGCTCTCGGATGAATCTTGGTCGACAAGGAAACGGGACAGCCCTGTCTTTTTGGGACCTTCGTCTTCATCGCTCGACTCCTCCTCGTCCTCGTCCTCCTCCTCAGAGGACTCCTGCTGCTCCTGGTCCTCCTCCTCCTCTTCCTCGGAGGAAGTGTACAGCTCCTCCTCGTCGGAGCTGCTCTCAGACGAGCTATCGTCGCCGCCACGGAAAAACCGGGACATGGTGAAGGTCGAATTCGGGGTGTGGCTGAAATTCGATGCGGTTGTGGATGGATTTCGCGAAGCCCCGCGACGTGGTCCTGACGATCGGTTGGAGAAAACCAAGAGGAGGGGTCGATAATATTTTTTAGTGAATGGTGATTTTCTGGTGGGGCGATTTGGGGCTTAGCGGGTTTCGGCTACAGGCGAAAACGTTCTGGAGCCCAGCACTGTGGTTCCTACTGTCAAGCAAGATTCAAGGTCGCCTGAAGCACGGCAAAAAGGTAGCAGCATAATTAACCTGTAAAGGCCGCGGCGGACTGCGAGGGAGCCCCGTTTCCTTGTATTTTCCTTTCTGAAGGTCAGACCCCTCCTATTGTGACTCATGTTTACGCGTACCTAAAGCACCTAGGTGCTACGGAAGGAGGCGAGCAAAGACAGAGCTGCCTTAGTCAGCTGACACATCACGTGAGATACAGACCAATACGTGTATCTTTCACCTGCCGTTTCGATATCCTTATATCGGGGAAATTGACAAACGGGTCTCTCTGGACCTGCGCGCCCGCAGGCTCGCGCCACCTGCAGCGCGAGAGCTTCCCAAGATTTTTTGTATCGGCATCCGCCAAGTTTTGGCATCATCGAGGACAGTCCCCACAAACTCGCACGTTCGCCATCTCAATTTGTTAGGGGACAAACACCACCATCAAGCTATTCATGGAGGTTCTCTCCAAACATCCTCCTTTTTGATAACAAACCCGTCGCCCCGGCCGTTGCCGCGTTCGAGTATCTCTTAGCGCGACAGGGCGATTTGCTTGTTGGTGGAGAAGTTCATCGGCACTGCTGTTTAACGATTTTAATCATCTCGCGATGTCTTCGTTCCCACCGCCTCCTCCCCCTCCCGGATGGGGCCCCCCTCCACCGCCGCCGACACCACCTCCACCCGGCCCTTCCTCACTTCCTCCCCCTCCAGCCATCCCGGCACCGCCCCCGCCGGGTTACCGCCCCCCGACCGACCCTCAGATCGCAAAGTTCGCGCAAAAGAAGAAGGAATGGCTCCGCTCCCAGCGCAGTCGATTTGGAGAGAAGAGGAAGGGAGGCTTCGTGGAGACCCAAAAGGCCGACATGCCCCCGGAGCACTTGCGGAAGATCGTCAAGGACATTGGCGATGTTTCGCAGAAGAAGTACACCAGCGATAAGCGCAGCTACCTTGGCGCTCTGAAATTCATGCCGCATGCAGTCATGAAGCTTCTCGAGAACATGCCGATGCCGTGGGAATCGGCTCGGGAGGTCAGGGTGCTGTACCACGTCAACGGGTGTCTGACGCTCGTCAACGAGATACCGCGCGTCATCGAGCCAGTTTTCTTTGCCCAGTGGGCTACGATGTGGACCACAATGCGGAAGGAAAAGAGAGACAGGAGACTGTTCAAGCGCATGCGATTCCCGCCGTTCGACGACGAGGAGCCTCCTTTGTCCTGGTCGGAAAACATCGAGGACGTTGAACCACTGGAGCCTATCCAAATGGACCTCGACGAGGACGAAGAGGCCGCCGTCTACGAATGGTTTTACGACCACCAGCCGCTTCTCGACACGTCACACGTCAACGGATCGAGCTATAAGAAATGGAACCTCAATCTCCCCCAGATGGCCAACCTGTACCGCCTGAGCCGGCCGCTGGTATCCGACATCGTTGACCGGAATTACTTTTACCTTTTCGAGCTGAAGAGCTTCCTGACGGGCAAGGCGCTGAACGTGGCGCTGCCGGGTGGCCCTCGCTTTGAGCCGCTCTACAAGGATATCGACCCGAACGATGAAGATTTTGGCGAGTTCAATACCATGGACCGCATCATTTTCCGGAACCCCATTCGGACTGAGTGCCGTGTGTCGTATCCGTACCTCTACAATGCGCTTCCGCGTAGTGTGCATCTCTCCTGGCACTCCCACCCGCAGGTCGTATACCACAGGTCCGAAGGCCCCGACCTCCCTGCCTTCTACTTCGACTCAAACATCAATCCGATCTCGTCTCGTGCTGTGGCGCCGAAAAACACCACAGTCAGCCATGAGGATGAGTTGTTTGGTCCGGGAAATATTGAGGAACCAGAGGAAGAAGCATTTGAGCTCCCGGCGGGTGTCGAGCCATTCCTCGTTGATGACGACTTGTCCACCGACGACACGGCGTCGGCCATTGAGTTGTGGTGGGCACCCTTTCCCTTTGACCGCCGGTCCGGCCGCATGGTGAGAGCCCAAGATGTGCCTCTCATTAAGCACTTCTATTTGGAGCATTGCCCGCCAAAGCAGCCTGTGAAGGTCCGAGTGTCGTACCAGAAGCTGCTCAAGACCTATGTGCTCAATGAGCTACACAAAAAGAGGCCCAAGTCACTGCAAAAACAGAACCTCCTCGCAACGTTAAAACAGACCAAGTTTTTCCAGCAGACAACAATCGACTGGGTGGAAGCCGGGCTTCAAGTGTGCCGTCAAGGCTTCAACATGCTCAATTTGCTGATCCACCGCAAAAACCTGACGTATCTCCATCTCGACTATAACTTCAATCTGAAGCCTGTCAAGACCCTGACGACCAAGGAACGGAAAAAGTCGCGGTTTGGGAATGCCTTCCACCTGATGCGTGAGATCCTGCGCTTGACTAAGCTCATCGTGGACTCTCATGTCCAATACCGGTTGGGCAACATCGATGCCTTCCAACTTGCGGATGGCATCTTGTATGCGTTTAACCATGTCGGGCAACTGACTGGCATGTACCGGTACAAGTACAAGCTCATGCACCAAATCCGCTCTTGCAAGGACATCAAGCATCTGATCTACTACCGGTTCAACACTGGTTCCGTCGGTAAGGGCCCGGGTTGTGGGTTTTGGGCTCCTGCTTGGAGAGTTTGGCTATTCTTCATGCGTGGCATCATCCCGCTTCTAGAACGTTGGCTTGGCAATTTGCTCTCGCGCCAGTTCGAAGGCCGTCACAGCAAGGGTGTCGCCAAGACGGTGACGAAGCAGCGTGTCGAATCGCATTTCGACCTGGAGCTGCGTGCATCGGTTATGGCCGATCTAATGGACATGATGCCGGAAGGTATCAAACAGAACAAGGTCAACACCGTCCTCCAACATCTCTCCGAGGCCTGGAGGTGCTGGAAGAGCAACATTCCTTGGAAAGTTCCGGGTCTGCCTGCTGCCATTGAGAACATCATTCTGAGATATGTGAAGTCGAAAGCCGACTGGTGGATCTCGGTGGCACACTACAACCGCGAGCGCATCAGGAGAGGCGCTACCGTCGACAAGACCGTGGCCAAAAAGAACGTCGGTCGCCTCACCCGTTTGTGGCTCAAGGCTGAGCAGGAGAGGCAGCATAATCACATGAAGGACGGCCCGTACGTCTCGTCTGAAGAGGCCGTTGCGATTTACACCACCACCGTCCATTGGCTCGAGGCAAGAAAATTCTCACCTATTCCCTTCCCCAGCGTCTCCTACAAACACGACACTAAGATCCTCATTTTGGCTCTCGAACGGTTGCGCGAGTCGTATTCAACCAAGGGGCGGTTAAATCAGAGCCAGCGGGAGGAACTGGCCTTGATCGAGCAGGCCTACGACAGCCCAGGCACCACTCTAGAGCGGATCAAGCGCTTCCTTCTCACGCAGCGTGCATTCAAGGAGGTTGGCATCGACATGAACGACAACTACAGCACCATAAATCCAGTGTACGACATCGAGCCGATTGAGAAGATTAGTGACGCCTACCTCGACCAGTACCTTTGGTACCAGGCCGACCAACGCCATCTCTTCCCCGCCTGGATCAAACCGTCCGATTCCGAAGTTCCCCCGCTTCTGGTCTACAAGTGGGCTCAGGGCATCAACAACCTCGACAAGGTCTGGCAAACCTCGGACGGGGAGTGCAACGTCATGATCGAAACGCAGCTGTCCAAGGTCTACGAAAAGATTGAGCTTACTCTACTGAACTCTCTCTTGCGTTTAATCATGGACCACAACTTGGCTGACTACATTACGGCCAAAAACAACGTGACGTTGACATACAAGGACATGAGCCACGTCAACAGCTACGGCATGATCCGTGGTCTGCAGTTCTCGGCATTCGTATTCCAGTACTATGGCCTGATACTCGACCTCCTCCTCCTTGGTCCTCAGCGAGCCAGCGAAATTGCTGGGCCCCCGCAGAGCCCCAATGACTTCCTTCAATTTCAGGATCGCGAGACGGAAACGAGACATCCTATCCGGCTGTACACCAGATACATTGACAAGATATGGGTGTTCCTGCGCTTCACGGCCGACGAATCGCGAGATCTCATTCAACGGTTCCTGACGGAGCAACCCGATCCGAACTTTGAGAACGTCATCGGCTACAAGAGCAAGAAGTGCTGGCCCAGAGACTCGCGCATGCGGCTGATGAGGCACGATGTGAACCTTGGCAGGGCCGTCTTCTGGGATCTCAAAAACCGACTCCCGCGGTCAGTGACAACGGTTGAGTGGGAAGACACGTTTGCGAGCGTCTACAGCCGCGACAATCCCAACCTTTTATTCGCCATGTGCGGGTTTGAGGTGCGGATCCTGCCCAAGATCCGCAATCAGAACGACGAATTCCCAGTGAAAGACAGCGTGTGGTCGCTCGTGGACAACACAACGAAGGAGCGGACTGCCCACGCCTTCCTCCAGGTGACCGAGGAGGACATTCAGAAGTTCAACAACCGCATCCGCCAGATCTTGATGTCGTCCGGGTCCACGACTTTCACCAAAATTGCCAACAAGTGGAACACCGCTCTTATCGCCCTGTTTACTTACTACCGTGAGGCGGCGGTCTCAACCGTTAATTTGCTCGACACCATCGTCAAATGCGAGACCAAGATCCAGACCCGAGTCAAGATTGGCCTGAACTCCAAGATGCCCTCGCGTTTCCCACCGGCCGTGTTCTACACACCAAAGGAACTCGGTGGTCTTGGCATGATTTCAGGCTCCCACATTTTGATTCCCGCGAGCGACAAACGGTGGTCCAAACAAACCGACGTTGGCGTCACGCACTACCGTGCGGGTATGTCTCACGACGAAGAAACCCTGATCCCCAACATCTTCCGCTACATCATCCCATGGGAGGCCGAGTTCATCGACTCTCAGCGCGTCTGGACCGAGTACTCACAGAAGCGTCTCGAGGCCAACCAGCAAAACCGAAGGCTCACCCTAGAGGATTTGGAGGACAGTTGGGATCGTGGTTTGCCTCGCATCAACACTCTGTTCCAGAAGGATCGCAGCACTCTGAGCTTTGACAAGGGCTTCCGCACCCGGTCAGAGTTCAAGATCTACCAACTGATGAAGAGCAACCCGTTCTGGTGGACAAGCCAGAGGCACGATGGCAAGCTGTGGAACTTGAACGCCTACAGGACGGATGTCATCCAGGCATTAGGTGGTGTCGAAATCATCTTGGAGCATACGCTATTCAAGGCAACCGGGTTCCCGTCCTGGGAAGGTCTCTTCTGGGAAAGGGCCTCGGGTTTCGAGCAGGTCAGTCTTTCTCTTCTTTGCCCCTCTCCGTGGCCTTTACCAGGGCCACCCCCGTTTTTTTGACACTGGGCAACATGCTAACACCTCATCAACCTACAGTCCATGCAATTCAAGAAACTGACCAACGCCCAACGGTCCGGTTTGAACCAAATTCCCAACCGTCGTTTTACCCTCTGGTGGTCCCCCACAATCAACCGAGCCAACGTCTACGTGGGGTTCCAGGTGCAGCTTGACCTCACGGGTATCTTCCTGCACGGCAAGATTCCTACGTTGAAGATCTCGCTCATTCAGATCTTCCGTGCCCATTTGTGGCAGAAGATCCATGAGTCTGTGGTCATGGATCTTTGCCAGGCCTTTGACCAAGAGCTAGAGGCGTTGAGTATCGAGTCGGTACAGAAGGAAACGATTCATCCCAGAAAGTCGTACAAGATGAACAGCTCTTGTGCAGATATCCAGCTGTTTGCCAGCCACAAATGGAATGTCACCCGACCGTCACTGCTTTTCGACAACAAGGACACAATCGAAGCTACGACGACGAGCAAGTTCTGGATCGATGTGCAGCTCCGGTACGGTGATTACGACTCTCACAATATTGAGCGGTACGTCAGAGCGAAGTACCTCGATTACACCACCGACAGCATGAGTCTGTACCCATCCCCGACGGGTCTAATGATCGGCATCGATCTCGCATACAACCTTTACTCGGCGTACGGGCAGTACTTCCCCGGCTTGAAAACCCTGGTTCAGCAAACCATGACCAAAATCATGAAGGCCAACCCCGCGCTCTATGTCCTGCGTGAGCGTATCCGCAAGGGTCTGCAACTCTACGCGTCCGAGAGCAACCAAGAGTTCCTGAACTCGCAAAACTACTCGGAGCTGTTTAGTAACCAGACGCAGCTGTTCATTGACGACACCAATGTCTACCGTGTCACCATCCACAAGACCTTTGAAGGCAACTTGACGACGAAGCCTATCAACGGTGCAATCTTCATCTTCAACCCCCGGACTGGTCAGCTCTTCCTGAAGATCATTCATACCAGCGTGTGGGCGGGGCAAAAGCGTCTTGGGCAGTTAGCCAAATGGAAGACCGCCGAAGAAGTGGCGGCGTTGATTCGGTCTTTGCCCGTCGAAGAGCAGCCGAAACAGCTCATCGTCACGCGCAAGGGTCTGCTTGATCCTCTCGAAGTCAACCTCTTGGATTTCCCCAACATTTCGATTCGTGCCTCCGAACTGCAGTTGCCTTTCCAGGCTGCCATGAAGGTTGAGAAGCTTGGTGACATGATTCTGCGTGCCACGGAACCTCAGATGGTGCTCTTCAACCTCTACGACGAGTGGCTCAAGAGCATCTCCTCGTATACGGCTTTCTCCCGTCTGATCCTTATCTTGAGGGCGCTTCATGTCAACCAAGATAAGACAAAGCTTCTGCTCCGTCCCGACAAGACCGTGATCACCCAGGATCATCACATCTGGCCGTCTCTCTCAGACGATGACTGGATCAAGGTCGAAATGCAGCTCCGCGACTTGATTCTTAACGACTACGGTAAGAAGAACAACGTCAACGTATCGAGTCTGACGACGAGCGAAGTCCGCGACATCATCCTCGGTATGGAGATCTCGGCCCCTTCGCTGCAAAGGCAGCAGGCGGCCGAAATTGAGAAGCAACAACAAGAGCAGCAGCAGCTCACCGCAGTAACGACCAAGACGCAAAATGTCCACGGCGAGGAGATCATCGTCACGACGACCTCGCAGTTCGAACAGCAGACATTCGCGTCTAAGACCGAGTGGCGCACGCGCGCCATCGCCACGTCGAATTTGCGTACGCGTGCCAACAACATGTATGTGGCACCTATGGACAGCGATGTGGATGAGATCACGTACGTGATGCCCAAGAATATCCTCAAGAAGTTCATCACCATCGCCGACCTGCGCGTGCAGGTTGCCGGGTACCTGTACGGGTCCTCCCCGGCCGACAACGACCAGGTCAAAGAAATCAAGTGCATCGTCATGGTGCCCCAAATAGGTGGGCTCCGCGAGGTCCAACTGCCGCACCACCTGCCCCATCACGAGTTGCTGAAGGATCTGGAGCCGCTCGGCCTCATCCACACTCAGTCAGGAAACGAGCTGCCCTACATGTCTGCCATGGACGTGACCAAGCATGCCCGCATGGTCGACAACCACAGCACCTGGGATGAGCAGCGCACACTCACCGTTGCCGTGTCCTTCACGCCGGGCAGTGTCTCCCTCTCCGCCTGGGCGCTCACGCCGCAGGGGTACAAGTGGGGTGCAGAGAACAAGGACACGGGCAGTGACCAGCCGCAGGGCTTCTCGACGGCCATGGGCGAACGGCGGCAGCTGCTACTAAGCGACAAGTTCCGCGGTTTCTTTCTGGTGCCCGACTCGGGCAAATGGAACTACAGCTTTATGGGCAGTGCGTTTGGTGGGTTGGAGAAGAAGACAGTGCCTGTCAAGCTGGATACGCCCATGCCGTTCTACAGTGATCAGCACCGCCCGATTCACTTTGCAAGCTTCAATGAGCTAGAGGATATTTGGGTGGATAGGCAGGACAACTTTGCGTAGGTGTACAGGGGAAATGTAACCGTAGGCCCCCAGAAGCGGACAGGGCGGGTTAAGAGATTGTGGGTTGGACTCTCGATGAGTTTTTAGTGGTGTAATGTGATGGCACACGATGTATGGAGTGTATTTTGCATTTATTTGAGGCTTTTTTTCAGTTTTCTTGGGGCAAATTGCCACGCCGGGCTGCTCGGATGTGTATATGTGCTAGTTTCACCAAAAGGACATGATGTGTATCCCCGCGGATATTACTAGTTGGAGCCATGTTTTGAAGCAAGTCCATATACCCGACAAAGATCCTGCTACCGATGAAACCTAGCCCTCGATCTGTTCGCTTTCTAGAACTGGAACTTTGCAAGACCAGATGACGGCCCAGATCTGATGTGCCTCCGGCTCACGGGACGAATGACGATCACACACGGAAGCAACCAAAACGCCGGGAACCGAACTGACAGAGGTAGTGTAGGCATTCATTCATTCGGATGAGCAGACAAATTCTGCGGGCCTGTCAAGGCTGATTCAGCAGTCGCTCACGGAACGAGCGAGATTGTGTTTAATGCGTTCATGCGTTGGGTGTCGCGAGTATTTCCGCTTCGAGGAAAGTTTACCGCACGCCGATGAAGTACGCCACCACGCAACGGGGACGCCGTTAGGCGGGCCGCTGAGTGTCTAGTTTGCTTTCGGAATCCTTTCCATCGGTGAAACCACGCATCAAATGGGGGACACTTCGAACAGCCATTTTCGCCATGCATGATGAGCCGTTGCAATCTTGTGCTTGAAGTGGGGGAGCTGTGCCAAGGTTGCCTTGCAGGAGAAATCCCCGAATCAAGATCTCCCCATCGCCCTCAGTTATTTTGAACCACCCCGCTCCGGCGGCGTTTAATGGTTCGTCACGTCCTCGAATAGAGTGTAATACATAAAACAAAAGACGTTACCACAAGCCTAACCTAAAATGGAATGAGTGCAGGACAATTGAGGGGTGCGAAAACTCCAATTTGGCGTCGTTGGGCGCTTCCAGACAGCTGTCGCAAAACGCCACCGGAAGCTATCCTTAGAATTGGCGCGTGCATGATCTTTCCGTTTCTGGCATGTATGTACCCTCGTACCCTGCGCCCCAACATGCGGTGGGTTTCCGGCAAAACGGTTTATCTGGGAGGTACTTCGACGTGGATAGCAATAACAAACAGGCTCGAGAAGAGCAGTTGTAGTACGCGTCGTCTGCTAGCGCCACTGACCTCGCACCCTAACAGAGAGGAGACTTGAGAAAATGTCTGTATCTATATTGACCAGGCCCGCCAGGATAGGATGATGTGAACAGAATGAGGTTGTCAAGAGTAGTGTATGTGGGGAACAGGGTAGAGCTTTGGCCGGCGGTTCGCAAGTGGTGAGCTCCAGCTCGGGTAGTTGTGGGGTCGAGCGAGATGCCGGGGGTTTGAACAAGAAATGGTGTTGCCCGCAAGGCCACAAGACACCTTGTGATCGCAAACTTGGTGTGGCGGTCAGCCCGATCTGGAGCTAAGCGGCCCCAACTTCCCGTGGCCGAGTCAAACGCGGATCAGGAGTCTCGGGTGCTGGGCCGAAGTCCGACGTGCAATGCTGCAGCCACAGGGATGCATTCGATGTTTACGGATAGCAGGTTATCCTTTCCTTCCATTCCATCTCACAAGTCCGGCCCGAGCCGGCCAAAGCGGGAAAGGAATACAGAGGAAGCGGGTGTGGTGCAATGGTTGTTCTTTTTTTCCGTATTTGAGGAGAGAAAAGCTACCTTACGAGCCTACTTACACATTTCCGTTGAGATTCGTTAGTTACAGAGCACGAATAACTTGTGGCTTTTGTTGGCGACGACGGAACGTTGCTGCAGTCGGCAAATCGGCGTTGGACCAGGTGTGGGTCTCAGTGGGCCTTGTGCAGGTGATCAGAGACATTCTCGGAGTGGGCCATGAGACAGGTTCGATCGCTGGACGGCCCTCGTTCCTTGCTCTTCAAAACGCCACAAACACCAACGTTGCGTGTGGCTCAAAAAAAGAAGAGACTAACAGCTAACCTAGGTGCCTAGGTGCCTCACACAGTACCACCCGCGAGCGCATACACAACGCCCCCGTCGGCGGGCGTTTTGTTATCTTGCATTTCTGGAACCGAGAACCAATATCCGGGGTTGCCAACTTGACGGTCCACCACAATCCAAAAACACTTTCCCGCCCCAGGGATCAACTTCTTTCCCTCGTCTTTCGCTCCGAGCCCGAGGGCTGGCATCGCCTGCTGCTTCTAGAATGACCGAGATGATAACAATTTCACAGCTTTGCTCTCAGCCAGGGGCATAAACCAAGCTCTTATTGCAAGGTTTGAATGAAACGGCTGCCCTTCATGCGTACAGGTTCGCGCACCAGCCACAGCATTTCATATCCTTTCCTCCTCCACCGACTGCCGCGAACCCCAGCCGCCAAGCATCGCCCGCTCCGGGCTCGTTGCAACCACTCTCTCGCCTCACGCACCCTTGCCTCCAAGCTCTCCTCACAAGTGGGTTGGCAAAGAAAGTGCGTGTGGCGTGGGCAGCTCGGTGGCACGATGTATGGGGTGTGAATCAACGGTCGAGTTGGTCACCCGTGTATGTCGGTTTGCTAGTTGAACACTGGCCTAAGCAATTCTAATACCTAACCATGTTTCCAATCGCTCGCAGGCTCCCGACCAACTCGGCAAAGAGTCCGGGCCGCCCCAACAGCATTGAAAAGCAATCTTGGGATCCCCGAAATTGCAAATCGGCTTCCTGAGCCACAAATTGCAATGCGACTCCGGTCGGCCCTGCTGGCAAAACACGCGCGTCGACGATGTTTTGCTCACGTCGTGCATGAATCCCATCCAGTCGCGCGCGTGGTTGCAAGCGGCTAGGACGAACCATTGACGACGGAATCTCCCACTAGTCCTTGTTACTCAAAATTGGACGACACCGTTTGTTGCTGCTTCGGCAGTCCTCGGCTTCATGCCCTGGAGCGATCGCCCTGCGGCTGCATACGCGATACCCGACCATGGAAACATGGAAACATGTTGCTAATCACATCGCTTGGACCCCAAACCGTCATCGAGTCACAACTCCCGTTTCCCGTTCACGCACTCGCAGCACCTGAGGTCGTCGAACGAATCCGATCACACATAGCTGTGGGGTTTCCTCTGTAGAAAACCAGTTCGTGGCTCCTCTAGGCGTGTTATTATCCGGCTCATGGTCGACCGTTGAGAAGCCCAGGGGAGCTTCAGAGCCAGGTCTGGGGTACCTGTGGGTTACATTCATCACCTCGGAGAGCTCACCGCTTGCAATTTGAACACGGGCCCGCCTGGTACCATTATCCCCTGCTCGGCAATCTGGCAGCTAATCAGGTCAACCGTCCTTTGCCTTTTTTTCGAAGTGGGGAGAAACTGAGCGAGGCATCGATCTCTTTTCGTCGCTGATATAGACCACCCCGGCTCCGTTATACCTGCTTTTGGACACAACGGTGAAAACTCAGCAAGCGGCGCTCCTCGTCGCCGCCAGCCATCACTCCACAACACAACTGGCTTTCTTGGATAAGTGGCTGGGAGCCAGGGGGTGAGGGAGGAGGGGGTGTCGAGCAAAGCATGTTTCTCACCCCACAAAGCTCCTCCCACCCCCTGGCTCAACGGCTCTGATGCGGGATGGGGACTGCTCCCTGTTTCTTCTCGGCCGTCTCCCCAGCCATCCACGCCTAGCCAGGCACCCCACGTTCCCCCCTTCGATGCATCACAACGGCTTTTTTTTTCTCTCTGTCGTCGTGAGCTTGCTGGGACATCATTCCCAAGCGAAGACACTACCGCCTTCGTTCAGTACTTGCCATACATCCGTACATATATACCACAAGCGCCTCTACAAGGTCTAGCATTTCCCTCTTCAGCATCCATGGATCCTGGACACTTGATCGACAGGACGACAATACCGGAGGGTTTTCGTTACCAAGCTTAGCCGCGAGGCAAGTGCCGCGGCTGCATCTGGCGGGCTACACAGTAGGTCGGTCAGTGCTGGCAGCGGTTACCCCCAAATTCGCTGTCGTCATGCTTCAAACGCCCCCCCCCACCCTGCCCTATCTTGCATGTCGACGGCTGGTTTCATGTTGGAGTTGTCTTTCTTTTTTTTACTATTTGGCAAGTTCTGGGCCTGTAGGCTACTGGTACTCTTCAGGTGTATTGCCCTCATCGCGTAGCACCTTGACTGTTCCTGTTCTACTTTTGGTCAAATTTTCCGATGGGTAGAGGAGAAAAGCGTTGGACGTTGTTGCTGTGGATGGGGTCGCCTTCGAGGGGGGGGGGAGCGTCTTTGAAAAGTCGACGTCGTTTTTCCCTGGCCCGTCCACCCTCCCCCGTCCCTTGTTGCATCATCGCTAGGGCTGGGCCCCTGTTTCTATATCCGGCAGCGAGTCCATGGCATAAGATCCCCAAATTATGCTACCGTCATCCTTGATGAGAAGTCCCGCCACTTTTCAGGAACCATATTTTCATCCCGGGGCTTGGCAGGCTCTGATGTGCTTAAATGTGGAGTGATGCAACGGGTATTAAACCCAATTCCCACCCCCCAAACGCCCCGGGGATCCGGCTCTCCTCGTCTCGTCGAGTGGTACTAAACATCAGATGGTATAATAATATACCATGCTCGGAGTTGAGTGTTCGAAAGTCCTAACCCCACCATTCGTTTAAACTTCCGACGGCCTGTGAGCAAGGGGCACGAGGAGCCAGGCAGACCAGTCAGTCAGTTGTATCTACCGAAACAACTCGCCCAAGCTCGCCCGCCGAGCCCAGGTGCCAACGCTGAGAGAGGGGGCGAGGGGAAACGGACGCCACCCGCACGTTCGTCACCAGAAAAGCAACGACCTGCTAAGGGGCCAGTCACATCAGAGGAACCACCGTTGCTCACTCGTCTCCTCAAAACCAATAACCTGGGAGACCATCACGCTCCGCTCGCTAGCCATCACCCGTTCACCGTCTAGTCCGAGATCCGCTCGCCCACCCGACAACACATGCTCTGGGTCATCCCCCGTTCCTTCTATCACGGTGTCAACAGACGCCACAAGAGAGCGGCCAGCCGGACCTTCCGATCTCGATCTCGACTCCACGATCCATCCCTGCGCCCAGCGTAGCCCCGTGTGGCTTCATCTCCCCAAATTATTTCTCTCCAGAACCCGGCGACCAGCCAGGGCGGTCCGCTCTGGCGGAACCCATGTATCGGAGGCACGCTGGCGGGCAACTACCGTGTAGGACCGGACTACAATGTCGACTACGCGCCGCAAGAGCCGCATTCGGGGCAGCAAACCCAGGCTCCGAACCCGTATGAGACGCACCATCACCGGGCCCCGCTCCAACATGCCGGCCCATCGTCCCTTCACGATCACTCCCCACATCCATCTCAGCACAGCGGCATGCAGCAGCACTACACCCCAACTCACCATGCCCATCCGATCCTCACCGACCCCAGCCATCTGGCCGGGCATCCATCGGCTCGACACATGGGACATCCTGGCCCATCTCATTTCGGCCCCGGTCCAGCCCAGCATGCTGTCGTGGCGCCTCTTTACTCGTCTCTAACCCCGACGCATGGCCAAACTGCGGGTATGAAACGGCCACGACCCGATGACCTCGACCTGTCCGTGCCTGGAATGCCCGACCTCGAACATGGCGATCTCGAGTCAATGCAGCAGACTCCCATGGGTGCCACATACGCACCGCCACCGTCCGCCCAGGCACAACAACCTCCGACGCATCACCACCATCGGCTCCCAGACACGGGCCCGCCCAACAAGCTCCTACGACGAGATGGGGAAGGCAACAGCAGCGTTGGAGGTGGGGGGCCGGGGGCTCCGAGTATGGTGGGGGCTGCGGGTATGCCGGCGCCGGCTGCGCGGCCGAGGGGACCAAAGCTCAAATTCACGCCGGAGGATGATCAGCTGCTGATTGATCTCAAGGAGAATAAGAACTTGACGTGGAAGCAGATTGCGGATTTCTTCCCGGGAAGATCGAGTGGGACGCTCCAGGTCCGATACTGCACGAAACTCAAAGCCAAGACGACGCAGTGGACGGACGAGACGGTAATTAAAGCTTTCCTTTTCTTCTCGTCCGTTTTTCCGGGTAGACCCCGATGTTTGTTGACCGCTAGGGGATGGCCATACCCTTGTTTACTAACGAAAGGTGTTCAACAGGATCAAAAGCTACGTACCGCGCTCCAGGACTACGAAAACGAAAAATGGCGCATCATCGCCAACAAGGTCGGCACAGGATTTACGCCGATCGCCTGTCGAGATAGAGCCGCAGAATTGTCGGGGGAGAACTTATAGCAACCAGCGTCTCCTCAGGGACAGGGGCCTGGGGGGTCAAGGCCAAGCTCGGGGGTGGGAATGGGACTAGGACCACGGCAAAACCCTCCTCTTCTCCACCTTCCTCCGGTTTCGATGCCCTCAGCTTCAGTCCCTAATACAGGGGACACCATCCACTCGGGTACCATATTCCCGTCGCAGCTTCAGTGACGTTATGGGCATTCGATGCCCTCAACCGCCATCACGACGACAACTGGTCTCAGCAACACACGCCAGCGACAAGGATTTGGATTCTGATCCTTCTCGAGCTCGTCCCTTTTTCAAAATCCGGTGGTCTACTACGGTATTGCGGTGTTTGTTTCATCGGAAATTCTGAGGGGGGGCTGCCTCGTGTACGTTGGTGATTAAACGTAGCGCACCCCCCCTTTCTATACGCTCACTACCCAGCCTTTCCTACCTGATATATTTCTTTATTCCCCCCTAAAACAAGGAAAATAACCCTTGTGTCATTTATTGGCCAGGTCCGGCCTTTGGCAGTTTTTTTTCTTTTACATGGTAAAAACGGCGGATTCTTAATATCGGAGATACCCCGAACCCGTCATGCGAAAACATCTCAACTCCCTTTCGTTTTCCTTCCCTTTAGCCTATATGCACACTTTTTTTTTTCACTCTTTCGTTCATTGTTCACATGGAGGCTTTTTTATTTCTCATGTTTCTGTTTGTCTGTTTCTCCCCAATGGCATGGAAGGCAATAGAGGACAGGCGGGGTTTTCAGAGCGGGTGGACGGGGAAACGAAGCATATGACGACAACTTTTCTTCAGGGGAAGCATACAACCATCCCGAGCCCGTCGTCACACCCAACAAGTACACGGCCGGGTGATGACGACGACGATGATTCTCGATTTTTTTGGCAACACTTAGATTGGATTTGGGTTACCAAAGGGGAAAAAGCATAGGAGGAAGTTGGTTGGGAAGAAGCAGGCGAGGTTGTTGTAATGGGGGATCTGTCGGCTCAGAAGATAAACGGGCGGTGGTGATGGCGATTCCATTTCCGTGTTCCATGATTAGTGGGAGACTGCTCCTGTGCGGACGTTGACGTCCACAGAACTTTGGTACGGGTGGAGGCGTGTAAACCACGATCTCTTTATCCAAGACGGCCGTGTGTCTCATACCCAACGCGAGACCCCTTTCTCATCTTATTTTGTTTTTTGTTTTTTTTTCACTCTTACCTTACGATAATGTTTAACACCATAGGCCGGCCCTGATCAAACAGACTTTCAATTCTTCCCTCTTTCTCTTGTTTTCACCTGTCCCAACCCCCTCTTGCGGTATTGGAGTACAACACGTGCTCAAATTGTGAGAGGGGGAAACACATGGCGACATGGGCCCTAGCGTTGTCGGAGTTCGTCCCATGTCAATTCCAGCGCCGATCTGCCTCTAAACTGAACCCTTGCAAAGCGTAACGGTTTTGTCTTTGCCAAGAACCAGGGTCCTGTGTGGACACAAACATTGCTTTTTTGCAGGACTTTTGTCTCGATTTTTTTTTCCTGCAGCTCTTGAGCAAAGCTCTCGGGTGTCGGTAAGGCAAGTGGGTCGCTCTTTGTTTGTTCCCAGTGCGATCCGGTGGACGTTTACTGGGCAGTCACAACCCAACTTTGCTCGAGCTCGAGCTTTAAATTCGGAAAGAGCACACAGGATGGGCGAAGCAACGGAGTTGTCCAAAAATAATTATTTATTAAGTAGTTAAACGGCTTAAAGCACGGTACATAACGTTGTTCCCTTCATGGGGTTTGGCAGCCGAGAGCGACGCCCGCGCTTTCCCAAACATCCCTGCATGGCAGCGAAGCCCGACAGAGGTTGTTCGCTGTGGGAAGCGACCGCCAAAAGGATCAGGCCCACAGAATAGTACCTTCTAAGCCTTCGTAACCCAACAGAGGACAAAAAAGCTACCGACAACTCTAGGCCATCCTTCCAATTTGCTTATTGGGCGTGTGAAGGGTTGGTCAGCGGAAACGACTTGGCTCGCAAACACATGCGACCTCATCGTAGCCCACCGGAGCTGCGGCCGGGCGATTGTATCGTTGACCATTTAGGTACCTAGTTAGCTTGGTTACGTAGACGATCTGGTGAGTATTACTACCTGACCTTGATAGACCAAACTTCCTACGCCATGCACTGTTCCTGACTCTCAACTCCTCGCAGACCAGTGGGCATCCAATCGGGGATTGAGACCGCAATATACGGCCATGTCCGTTGCGAGCAATTGCACATGTCGCCTAGCTAGCATCCGCCAATGTGCCCACTTGACCTGCATCACGTCCCAGCGCCGACCCGTCCGGGGTTGCACGCCGATGCTGCTGCTATTTGCAAAGCCTCTCAGGCTCAAGTTCGTGGGATCTTATGAGGGCATGGAAAGTTGCGCACTTGCTGCGCAGCGCCGACAACAAACATGCACCTGGCGGGAATTTGCCTGATACAGAAGGTGTATTGGTCTCGCATATAGTGGTTGGAGCCTTGGGGCTTGCCTGGAGTCTCTGGGTTGAGCGGGGAAAACGGTCTGGGCCTGGCTCACAAGTCAGATAGGAGCGGTAAGCGCCGATTACCCCGTGATGAGGAAGAAGAAGCAAAAAAGGGTGGTCTGGAATCACTATGAGGGTGAGGTCTTATATGGGGCATTTTATGTGCCGACGAATCCTCCAAGCGATTCCCACTCAAAGGCACGTTGAACTACCTACACACAGCATCCATGGCGCTGTAAACAGTTCGCCGTTCTGTCTATCATGAGCCGCCCAAGAACTACGTTACCTTGAGTTCTCATTGTCTCCGACCGCACTACCGATCAGTGCTACCTAGGTGCCGAACAACACGCTCTTCCGTCTGGGGTCTGAAGATCCCTCACGACCATCATGCTCCTGCCGAGCCCCAGATCCCCAATACCGACCATACCCAGGGTAACGGGCCAACGGGGTAACGACCAGGCTCAGAATCTTGTTTCTGGCCAACGCAAAGTCCCCGGGGGGGGGTCGAGGGAGGGGGGGATGGCAGCCGAGGCCTGGAAGGACGGCTCGCAACGACGGGCTGCAATAGTGGTTACGGCTTATGGCTCTGAAGAAGGGGTCCTGGCAGTTTTCTGGCTATAATACCGTCTAATAAGGCCCCTATCTGGATCGGTGTCCACCCGGCAACAACCCTGACCCCCCTGTCCGTGAGCACCTAGCGAGCGTCCCCCCCTCCTCACGGAGGGCCTGGAAGACCCTGCAAATGGCGTGTTTTTTGGAAGAAGGGGGGCTGAAGAGGAGGTTGGGAGCGGGGAGGCACCGCCCCTGGGCGAGATATTCGGGGGGGTCGAATTTGACAGCTGGACGGCAGCGATGGCGGAAGCGGAACCCAAGACTTGCTCTTGTGTCTGCTGACGTTCTTCTCTCTTCTCTCACCCCCTCAGCCGCGGGAGGGTTGACGCAGTCGGGAAGTCGTCCCTGGTGATAACTGGGGAGAGAACTGGTGGTGATGCGGTCATGAGAGTCATTCCCGCTTAATCGGCTCCAATTCGGAATTCCACACTGCACTTGTGAAGCTCCTGTTTGGCACGCGCTTGGGGGAGGCCTTACTGGCGGTTAGAGGAGAAAGACAGAACACCCCAAGAACGAACTCCAGGGACTGGGGCAAGTCTGAGGGACGCGAGGGGGCAGAGGGAATAACACGGCGTCGCTAACCCGCGTCACCTCGCGTGTGTGTATTTGGCCTCGGTAAAGCGGCAAATGGACGGGGTGTCGACCGGAAATCCCCGGTTTCCAGTTTGCCGTTGTCGCTTCTCATCGGGCGACGGTAAACGTCATGGAGGCGTGGCGGCCGGGCGTGATTCGTTGCCGTTTGTCATGGAGTTGGTTCACAGGATATACATAGTAACCAGTCTCATTTCCAGTGGCGTTGGGCGTTATTCAACGGTCAATCCCAGCAAGCGCGGAGGAGAAGGCGAGCTGTTGGGCTTCAATCTTACTCGATGCCATTCCGTGGTTCCCCGAGGCAACCCCAAGGAGTTGCCGGTATCTTCTTTAATTCCTAGCAGAATTTAGTAGAACGATGATGTAAATTTAATCCTCGAGCTAAAAACTACAGAAGAGCACTCTTGTCCAAAACATGGACCCCTGAGCACGCAACGTTACAGTGTATTGAGAATTAGCCGTGGGAGACTGAATCCCAATCGTAATTTGTCTGATGCCATCGAGATTTTGCACTGGAAGCAATAGTGTACCTCGTCCCAACCCCTGGCAGAGCGCCACCGCCTTGTGATCGACCAGGGCCGGGTTGTGGAGAGACGAGAGGTTGTCTTCCTGCAGGATCTCGCAGTGTTTCTTCTCGATCTGGTGGGTCCAAGTGCCGTGCTGCCCGGTTCTTGGGGACACGCCTCTTTGTTTTTTAGTTCATGGGTTACGGATACAGAGTCTCGTCAGGGGGAAGGTACCGATGCGGTAACACTTGAGGACGGGGGCGGTGACCGCGGACCATTGCTCTCTCAATTGGCATGAAGTATCAACGCTTTGACCTTGAAACCCGGCTGGCCCCCGTAGCTCGACATGTCTATTTCCATCGATTTATGTTGTTTTACCATCGTTAATGGAAGTGACTCGATGTACACTCCCCTGGGGGGCCACCGCAGGGCTCACAAGCCCACGGATGCCAGAGCGAGACGAAGCTGCTGTGGCCGCGAGGGCTTAAACTGAGTTGATATCTACGAGAATCCTGAGGCCCTTTATGGGTGACCGACTCGCCAGGCCCTTTCGAAAGCAATATTCTTCTACCACTTTTTTAGGGAAGAATGTGGACTAGGACGGTTCAAGCGAGCGTATCAGACCTAATTGGTGAAGGCCCAAGGCCGGGAAAGAAGATTCGTACGACATGATGGAGCACCTCATATATTATGGAGAGAACTTACTCTGTCGGGATGTTTCTGTACTTGCGTGATGCCGCTTTATTATGGTCAAGCTTGATGTCAACGAGGTAAGCATAGACCCTAACCCTGAATCTCATTCAAGTCATCGTCATCATTTAATTAACGTGAAAGTCACCTGACAGCGTGCGCTCCGCCACCGCGGTCGATCGCGGTCATTGGAAGTCCCGCGCAGCTGCCTGGAAGCTTGGTCTCCGGTTTTCATGTCCGGAGTTGCACTTGAAGCAAACAGAATTAAATCATTTTTCCTCTTCTTTTCTCTTATTTTAGTCATCCATTATTGGACCGCCCCCGATTTTCGCCGCCCCCTTCGAATGTATTCCTTTGAAACATGAACCCGGCCGCTCGATTGCAGCTTCCTTCGCTCTACTTCGTCCCTAGTTGTAGCGTTCCTCGCAGTTGCTTGATCCTTCCTTGATAGGCGCCCACCACTTCCACCGCCCGCACGCCCATACGCCCGTAGGACTGCATACACTTTCGAATTTCAAAATGGCGTCAGAGTCCCGTGATGCGAGCCCGGCAGAGCCGTCCTCGGATGCCCCTCCCGACGACGCCAACCCCGAACTCGACGAGAGCGCAACACCTAATGCCGCGGCGCCACAAAGAGCCGCAGATGACGAGGCTTCGGCGCTCAGGCTTCTAACCGAGAATGTACGGGATCAAGATGACCTCGAACGAGACATCACATCCCAGGCCAACCGTGCCTTGATTGAAGCCGAGGATAAACGGGACCAGAAACGCATCGAGAAAGCCGAGCTGTCAAGATCCAAACTAGAAACCCAACGTAGAGCTCAACAACAAAAGCTCCGCACAGCGCAAGCGAACTCCGCAGCGAAGTTGCGCATCCAGCGAGAAATAGCCCGCATCGAAGCAGAAATCGAGATTTGCGACAAAGACATTGCCGACTTCAACACTCGTATCGAGCAGAGAAATAAATTGGACGGAGAGGATGGACAGACACAGGGGGCAGCGGGCGGGAAGCTGAAAGGGGAGACGCAGCGCGAGTATCTCATTCGGACAGGCAAGATCACACCATTTGCCACGTTCGGTGGGCCACGACCAGCTGGCGTCGAAGGCGAGCTCGCTGATGCTATCATTGATGCCGAAGATGAGGCCGTTGCGGAAGAGCTCGAGGAGCAGGCTGGTGAAGGCCCACGCTCCCATCAGAATCTGAGGTTGCCCGGCTTTACCGAAGATGTGGACGAGGTACCGAGTGCCGCTGTGGAATCGGAGTTTTCCCTCCGCCCACGGAAGAAACGGAAGGTGCAAAACGCGCCCGCGGAATCGGATGATGATTTTGCACCGGAAGAGTCGGCGTCGGAGGCGGCAAGCGTCGCGTCTGAGGCTTCGGAAAATTTCGATATGACAGAGGTGTCCCCCAAGCGGAAGCGAGGGACGGCCGCAAAAACGAGCGAGGGTAAGATTGACTTGAGCAATATCGACGATGGCAATGAAGCCGTGTACCAGACGAGGCTGAAGGACTGGACTGAGCGGCGAAGCCGAGCAAGGCGGCGCCGCCAGGAAGCTCTCGGCCAGCCAGTTGACGATGGGTCGGATGGCGTGGACGAATGGTTGAAGCCGTCCCCAAACCAGTCTGATCATCAATTTGAGAACGGCATGAAGTTACCAGGCGATATTTATCCCTCACTATTTGACTACCAGAAAACGGGGGTACAATGGCTGGCAGAGTTGTATGCCCAGGAGGTTGGCGGCATCGTGGGTGACGAGATGGGCTTGGGGAAAACCGGTTTGTCTCGTGTCGTATCCATTCTCCCGGGAGCTGAGGCTTACGTTATGTGTAGTCCAGTTGATATCCTTCATTGCCTCGCTACATCACAGCAATATGCTTCACAAACCGGTCATTGTAGTTGCCCCGGCCACGGTTCTGCGACAATGGGTCAACGAGTTCCATCGTTGGTGGCCGCCACTCCGTGTGTCGATTCTTCACTCGTCTGGGAGCGGCATGTTCAATGTTCGGGATGAGGATGAGATAGAGGAGCACGTGGATGACTGGGATGACGAAGAACGGCCGAAGAGGTCCAACCCGGCGGTAAGGAGGATTGTTGATCGAGTTGTCAAACAAGGTCACGTCCTAGTAACCACCTACGCCGGCCTCCAAACATACGGCGATGTCCTGATTCCCGTCAACTGGGGCTACGCTGTGCTAGATGAGGGCCACAAAATTCGAAACCCGAACACGGCAATCACAATCTACTGCAAAGAACTGCGCACTCACAATCGCATCATCCTTTCCGGAACCCCGATGCAGAATAATTTGACCGAGCTCTGGTCCCTCTTCGACTTCATCTACCCCATGCGGCTTGGCACCCTGGTGGCCTTCCGCACCCAGTTCGAGATCCCGATTAGACTTGGGGGATATGCCAACGCTACAAACCTACAGATTATGACGGCCCAGAAATGTGCGGAGACTCTGAAAGACGCAATCAGCCCTTACCTTCTCCAGCGGTTAAAGGTTGACGTTGCTGCGGACCTTCCGAAGAAGAGCGAACAAGTGCTGTTTTGCAAGCTGTCGAACCCGCAGCGGGAGGCGTATGAATTATTCCTGAAGTCCGAAGACATGGCTTCCATCCTCAACCGGACACGACAGTCGCTGTATGGAATTGACATACTGCGCAAGATCTGCAACCATCCCGACCTATTAGATCCGAGACTCAAAACCAAACCCGGCTACACGTGGGGTGATGACAGCAAATCCGGCAAGATGGCTGTGGTCAAATCCCTTCTCCCTATGTGGAAACGCCTAGGGCACAAGACGTTGCTCTTCTCCCAGGGAGTGCAGATGTTGGACATCATTGAGGCCTTTGTCCAGCGGCTGGACAATGTCAGGTACCTTCGCATGGATGGTAAAACACCCGTAAAACAACGACAGAGTCTTGTGGATCAGTTCAACACGGATCCGGAGCTGGATGTGTTTTTGTTGACGACAAAAGTTGGCGGGCTAGGCGTCAACCTCACGGGGGCCAACCGAGTCATCATCTTTGACCCGGACTGGAACCCTTCTACCGATGTCCAAGCGAGAGAGCGGGCGTGGCGGTTAGGTCAGAAGAAGGAAGTAACAATTTACCGGCTTATGACGGCCGGAACCATCGAGGAGAAGATCTATCATCGCCAAATCTTCAAGCAGTTCCTCTCCAATAAAGTGTTGAAGGACCCCAAGCAGCAGACATCATTCAATCTAAGCGACTTACACGATCTCTTCACCCTCAGTTCATACGAGGACGGCGTCACAGAAACCAGTGAGATATTCAAGGGAAGCGATGTGAAGAATTTCAAGCGTGCCGACCCACAGCAACTGGTTCTGCCTGGGCGCGATGCCGCACCTCCCATCCCAAAGCACCTTCGGGACAAATCGGCTCCTAAACCCGAGCCTAACGAAGCACCGCCGACGGAAACAGCGAGTGCGGACGGCGATGACCAAGAAAACATGCTCCGCACGATCGACGGCATCGCAGGTCTAGAAACCTACGAAAACCCCTCCGCGCCGCCCCCGAACGAGGAAGACCGGCTCATGGAGGGCCTCTTCGCCGGATCCGCTGTGCACAGCGCACTCGAACACGACGAGATCATCAACGGCAAAAAGGCTGTCCAGGCTGACCGCAAGATGCTTCAGCAGGAAGCCAACCGCATCGCTGCCCAGGCTGCGATCAGTCTCCGCCGAGCCGGTGAGCAAGCCCGCAACGTGCCCATAGGCACGGTGACCTGGACGGGCGAGGTTGGCGAGGCCGGTCGGCCAACCAACATCCGTCGCGGTCATCGCGGCCCGGGATCAGCGGCTATCCTAGCCGGTGTGGCCAGCCGACAGGGCCTTGGTTCGGGATCGGCTAGTCCTGCCGGCGGTTCAAGGGCGGGCACCCCTATAACGGGTGAGCAAGCCCAAAACCTGCGCGCGAGGGACTTTGAGAGGATGATACCCGAGTTTATTCGGCGGCATAACGGACATGTGCCGTCGAAACTGCTGGTGGACCATTTCAATCAGTATTGTGCGGGTTCACGACAGGCGGATGAGTTTAAGCTGGCGCTGGGGAAAGTGGCGAAAATGGAGAAAAGGGGGTCGAGTATGCGGGGAATTTGGACGCTGAAGCCCGAATTTCGGTAGATTGGGAGTGCTGTGCGGTTGAACCGGCGAGGGTATAAAATGGGGTCAGGAATTGGGAATATGTTGCGGGACAATAGATGGCCGGATCAAGTTTGGTTTCGGTGTTATGGACGGCATCCAGGGGGCGTGCGTTGCTTTATTTAGCGCGACCACGATCAATACAAGTTAGCCTCAACAAAGGAGCTTCAACAAAGGAGCTTTTTTACTCAGTAGTTGCATGACGCGGTCGGTTTCTTCAGAGCCTCCTTTTGCCCCTTTGTTCTCCAATACAGATCAGGGTCCAAAACTCAGGTCCCTATCTCCGAGCTCATCGAGTTCCGCATCGGCCCATACCATCGTACCCACTACCCAGTACTTGTTGCGAGGCGAAGATCATCTGGAACACGGGATATGCACAAGCCCAGGCGGATTTACCACGTGGTAATTGAATGGTTGCCACGAGGCGTGTCTGTTGTTGGACAGCAGCCAATAAGCGTGATGTTAAAGGACGAAAGGGGCATGTGGCATGTGGCATGTGTTATGGCGGGGTATTCAGCTGTGGGTTGGCCGTTAGTTTTTATGTGCAATAAGGATGACCGATCCCTTACTTTATCACCAACGGTATCCCCAGCCGAATACATATCAATGTGTATAAAGAGCCAAGGGGATCTTGTAGCATGATCCCAAACACCCCACATCAATTCTTAAACGCAAGGTTAGGTAGGTATTGACGATAGTAGATTAAGGGTATAGTATTGACACGCTAAGAAAACCCAACCGCAAATTAAATTTAACTCCCCAACTCCTTTTCCGTTATCCTGCGCCTTTATCAAGCCCAATTCGCTAAAAGTGCCATCAACCCAACACCGACCACCACACACCCGTACGCTGCGAGCTGCATGCCCAGCCCCGCCTTGCGCATTTCAGGGTTAAACATGAACTCGTGTGCAACCAGCTCGACAAGGGCCGTGTACATGAGAATACCACCGCTGATCGCGTCAAACACGCCGTTGACCACGCGGCTGGTGGCCGCTTCAAGGGCAAGCGAGCGGCTAGCCACGAGGCCCATACCGATGGCGAAGGGGGTGCTGATGGCGTACAGGGAGCCGAGGATATAAGGTGTCCAGCGGCGAGTGCCGTGGGTCGGCCAGGTGGCCATACCGAGACGGGCGCCGAGACCGAGGCCTTCAAAGGTCTGGTGGAAGACGAGGACGACGAAGAGGATGACGAAGTTGTCGGTTACGGCCAGGGTCAAACCGATGAAGATGGAGTGAAAGATGACGCCGAACTCGAGAATGAAGATGGCGGTGATTTGTGCCGCGTAATTGGCGTGCTCGTCGCCCTCGACATGGTCACGCTGGTGGCCAAGATGGTCGCCGCCGCCGGGCGGGTAGCTAACGTCGTCACGGCGGACTGGGATCCGGCTAGAGTCGAAGAAGTTGCCACCACTGCCGCTACTGTTGCCATTGCCGTTGTCGTTACCCGCCTTAGTAGCGGACTCGACGTCATGGGACTGACGCTTGCTGCTGGGCTCGTCGTCGTGGGAGCCCTTGGTCTCATGCTCGTGGGTGCCGCTGTGGCCGTGGCTGTGACCGTGGCTGTGGCTGTGGCCATGGGAAGAGCCGAAGCCAAAGTCAAAGCGAGAGACAATAATTTCGAGGAGGAACATAACCATGACGGTCATGAGCGCGATAGCCATGGCCCAGTCGTAGTCCGGCAAGATGTTGGCCAGACACTCGTCGCGGAGGTTATCAGAAGCCGGGGATAGGAGATGCATCCAGGCAGTGGCAAGAATAACGCCGGTGCCAAAGTACTTGGCGATGAAGAAACATAACTTGGGTACTCGTAGCCTCGAGGTCTTGGCCAGAAAAACAGGTAGGAGGGTACCGATGGCCGAGCCGACCAGGATGACGAAGATAGAGGCTATCCTCAAGCCTAAATAGTCGGTGCTTGCCGACGAGATCTCACACTCCGGCACGGCATCGGCGCCGTTTTCCTCGGCCCGGGCGGCCAGAATCGCCCGGTGAAGATGCCGATACATCGTTGACGTATGCCGCACTCTCCGCTGTTGCTGTAGCAGAAAAAGACCCCTGCCGCGTCCTCGGCGAGGTGGTGCCCGGAAGAATCAAGAGACAAAGACAGCCTTGCGGAAGGGGCTTTTGAAGACTCCGTTGGTGGGCCGCTTAAGGCCGTGCCCTGCAGATAGTTGTGTTGGGACGGCGGTTGAGTGGGGAAAATAAGGCTCCGTTAGCTGATAAGGGAACGCCCGGCCTCTGTCGTGATGTTGGGTGCGATCGACGGCGTCGTCAAGGCCGAGTGAGACAGGGGAAAAGCTCGAGATCTCGGGGGTTGGATCACGACGGCGGGACGAAGAAATAGGAAGGGAAACGGCCGAGTTAAGTCTGTGGCCGAGTGAGACCGCGGCCTGACAAGCGGGAGTGATGGGAAGGTGAGTGAGTGAGAAGGAGGGTGGGGGGCTACCAGGGGTGTGGATGCGTGCTGGCGGGTTTGAGAACCTTGATGGCCAGGCCCTATGAAAAGCGGCGTTTTCGTCAGCCCACACAAGCAGCCCAACAGCCAAGACGTCAAAATGAGTGGAATACCCCGAAACAGCCAGGCGCCGATGTCGTGCGCTTTGTTTTCTCGAAGCCTCCCAGTTCTACTTGACAAAAAAAGTCAGTGTTTTATTGTTGTAACAAAAAATGAACATAACAATCAACTTTTGGACCGGCCATATCGGAAGGGAATCCCAGAAAAAAGAAATAGGAAAACATAATCTTTGAGGACCTTGATGGCGCGGGACCAGGGAAGAGGAAGAAAAAAATCACTGCGGCCTTTGTCAAATTCCCTTTGCATGGCCGGCGCACTGCAGGATGAGCTGAGTGGGTTTGGCACATTGGGCACCTTGACGGCCACAGAAGCCACACTTCCCTCCCCTCTTCAACACCGAGTCGGATTCCTTGGCAAGCCGGCCATTGTTCGAAGCCCGGGTTTGGTGGGATCTCTGCCCGCCGTGCCGCCAACACAAAACGAGGAACGCAAGAATAGCCGGCCGATGAGTGGTGAGTTCGAAGCGCGATATCCGGATTTGCGGCGTGTGGGCTCGTGGGGCTGTGGGGCAAAAAGAGAAGGGCAGGGCAGCCCCACAGGAGCTGGCCATCAAGGTTCTCACTCCACGGCAGCCTCGTGGGGTTGAGGTGGAGCCCCGCTCTCACTCCTCCATCATCAACCTCAAACCCGACACATAAAATGTGACCAAGTTACAGCAAGCCACGGCAGAATCAGACTCGCTTCATGCGGGTGAGACAGGACAAAAGCAAACCGAAGACACAACGTGGAAATGCAGCAAGTAATCACCAATCACATCAAGCCGCCTGAGCGATAAAGGCGGGAAGTCAAAAGTCAACCACATGGTTTCACACCGAATCGCGTGGAGCTGCCTGGGGTAGCGCCTTCCGTTTGTTCGAAAGTACCTCAAGCATGCAAGAAGACAAGAAAAGGGGAAAGAGGAACCTTTAAATAACTTGAAGTACGTAAGAGAGTGCTCAGCTTGCTCTCCCCATCCCAAGTTTATCCCTCCATAGGTAAGTACAACGTACTGTACCCCCCGCGTTTTCATACAATACGAAGCGTAATGACCCCCTTTCCCCCCTTTTTTTATCACACTAGTAGCAGCATGCATCCCGCGTTTTAAAACAAAAACAAAATGGAAGAAAAATGCAAAAACCAACTCCCATCAAGTATCACTCTTACCCAAACCCCCAGGCACCCGCTCACTCAGTAAAACCGGACGCACCGGACCAGTCGCTGTACCAGTCTTCCAGATCATCCAACATTAAGACGTCGTCGTCGTCGTCGTCGTAAAAAGTGCCAACATCCTCATCGAAGCCATCGACATACCCGGAGGCGGTCACGGGGGCCCGGGTCTCCATAATCCTCTGTTGGGCGGCAGCGCGGGCAGCGAGTTTGGCGCGCCGCCTGGTGTTGTAGCGCCCCGTGGTCACGGCGGCGGCTAGGGTGGAGGACGGGAGAGCCCCCCGGCGGCTCCGAGACCGGCCACCGGGTGTGTGATCCGGGTCGCCCACCAAGGCTTTCAGGGTCCGTATGGCTTGGACGAGCGCCGCCTTTGCCTTGGCTTCCTTTGTAACTTTGTCTGTAGCGGCGTTTCGAGGGCGCGCCCCCGGCTCCTTCCTAGTACGCGGTCCGCGCCACTCTGCTAACTGTTGCTGCCACTGGGGCCGAATTATCAATAGCGCTTTCTTCCTATCCATCCCCGAGCGAAGGAGGCTCTCGTAATCGGTTTTTTTGTGGCGGACCCACGCTTCCACTGCAAACTCGGCGCGTGTGTCTAGAGAATGCTGAGTTGCGTGGCCGACGCGGTCAGGGTCGGCGAGCGCGAACTTCGCGACCTGTGTCCCCTCCTCCGGAGGAATCTTGGGGAACCGCAACACGATTGCTTCCCTCAATGAATTCTCCAGTTCTGGACCCGGCTTCGGGTGCTCTGGCGGCAAGACCCCATGTACGGACCAGTTGTACACATACAGGGGACAACGCAGCCCCACCAACACCTTGTCTTTGTTGTAGACGAGATGGAGTTGCGTGTTTCTCAGGATTGATTTCTCATAGCAGTCATCATACGTCTTTTCATCGGAGACAGGTACATATTCAAAGGCAAACGGCTTTGGCGAGCCCTCCTGGACCTCTGTTATTTTCGGCCCGCTTCCCGGCTTCGATGTGGTAGACCGCTTTGATATGGTAGACTTTTTTGATTCGGGAGGCTGTTCTGATTTGGTAGGCTGTTTTGATTTGGTAGACTGTTTTGATTCGGGTGAAGATTTTGATTCGGGAGCCTGTTTTGGTTTAGTAGGCTGTTTTGATCTGGTACCCATGTTTGTTTGTGGAACAGCCGCCTGGTTTGGCGCTCGTTATCAAGATCAGGCTGAGATGGTATCTGCTTTTTAAACCAGTGGACATGCTGTACTGCTATCGCGGAGATCTGTTGACACGAGGATGATCCTCGAGCCGCATTGTCGAGCCGGGTTTGCTCCCTTTAAGTGCAGCTCACTCGTCTGTAACGGAAGAGCAATCGACACCCGGAGTGGTTATTTTGGGTTGCTACCACCTTTGACCCGCGAGTGAAGGAAACAAAGAGTTCTTGGACACCCGAGTATTCGCTGGGACTAAGCCATTGTCGAGGAGTTTTGTGTCCAGCCCTGCGACCCATTCTCACTCGACAATGTCTATTTTACTCGAGGTTTTCTTTTGTGTCTTGACGCATTGTATCCTGGTGGTGTTCTTTGTTGAGTGTGCAATTAGGGGCTAAACTAATTAAACCATATAATTACAGTTACGAGATTCTCTTTGACACCATTTATTGATTACCCCTGAAGGATGTTTGTGCCGGTTGTAAAATACCCCTGAATAGCGTCAGCCAATGCTTGACACTCATCATGAAAGACTCGGTCTTTTGAATCTCCTGACCGACCCCGTCCTTTTACGACTTGACATCCCCAGAATCGACACCGCCCCCGCGGCCCGACTTAAGAAAGCCCGTCATCTTAGCCTTCAACTCCTCATACCCCCTCTTCCACTCCTCCCCATGCGCCCGCATCAACGGTTCCCCCGCCGCCGCCCCATCCGCATTCACCCAGTCCACCAGTTCCTGGACATACGCAACCTCCAGCCCAGGCGCCTGCAGCGAGTGAAACCCACGACCCAGCCCCTTCTCCTCCACCCGCTTGTCATACTCCGCCCGCATCTGGGCATGGTCCGGCAGGCGCGCCTTGCCCGCAAACACCCGCGCCAGAGCCTGGGCTTGGAAATCGAACAGCGAGAAGGTGGCCACGTAGTAGGGCACGCCGATGAAGGTAAGTGTTGGGTCGGGGATGTAGAAGATGTCGCGGTGGAGATTGTGTGCCATCTCGCCTTCGGCGGTGACTACGAGGTGGGTGCCGGCTGCGGTGTGGGCTGGGGAGGTGTCGGAGTGGAGGTGGTGGAGAAAGGGGTAGGAGGTGATGTAGCCGGTGGCTAGGATAACGTGGTGGATGGGGGGGATGTTGTTACTGCTGCTGCTGCTGCTGCTCGTATCCTGCGGTTGGTCGAGGAGGCGGACGTGGCCTGGGATGGGCGCTTTGGGGGGTAAGGGGTTGCTACTGTGGGTTGTTGAGAGGTCCTGAGGGAGCGTGAACTCGGCGATGGCGCCCACGCGCACGACACTCTCAGGCAACAACGAGGCTGGGAGATCAAACTTCCCGCCTCGCACGCTCTGAGTGATGTGGGCAGCCACGCCGTCTAATTCACGGCAAATGTCCATCGCAGACACGCTGGCGCCGATGACGAGCACGTGTTTTCCGCGGTAGGGTTCAGGAGACCGGTATTGCTTAGAGTGAGTGATGCGGTCGGGGTAGTGTGCTTTCCAGGTGTCTAGGCCAGGGGTAGGAGGGATGCGCGGCATGTTGTAGTGCCCGGAAGCGACAACAACGAGGTCGAATAGGGCGGTCTGCTCGGTAAGCCGGGGTTGTCGTTGTTGCTGCTGTTGTTGTTGCTGTTTATTACCCCCCTCGGCCCCCTTTTCCAGCGAGACCGAGCGAATTTGCCACTTTCTCCCATCAGGTGTTTTCCGGACATCGTCCACGCGAGTGTGGAACTGGGTGGCCTCATCTACCCCGTGGTTCTTGGCTAGTTTCTGGACGTACTCTTCGATGTAGCGTTGGTTGATGAATGCCTCGGTGTCCTCGGGCCATGTCTCCAAGGAGCTAGCCATGAGGTGAGTTGGCACGTTGTTCTTCAGCCCGGCGTAGCAAGGGCCAGGCGGCGAAAAATGGACTTCCCCGTCAAAAAAGGGGGTTTCCGTCGCAATATCCCAAGCCTCATCCACTTCTTCCTCATGGCCACGATCATCATCACCATAACCACTGCCACTGCCAGGTTCGCCTTCTTCTCCCCCTTTCTCTCCCGTTAGAACACGCTCAGGAGGTGGAGTTACATACCCACTCCCCTTCACCCCAGGCACCACGGCATGCGGACCCCCCCGATAATAGCCATAGTCGTAAAAGTGATCCCCCTTCGAAGGCACACTGTTAGGATACGGCGGATCCGGTGCAGTGCGCGGGTCGTAATGCCAGACCCCGCCCGCAATGCTCGAACGTTCAAAGACCGTCACGTGCAGACCTTGTTGTAGCAGATGGGCAGCTGCGCAGACGCCGCTGATGCCCGCGCCTATGACGGCTACGGTGCTATTGGGATGGAAGGAGTTGGGGGGTTTTTGGCCGTGCTCATGGTCGTGTTGTTGAGGAGGCGTGGATGGTGCAGTTGGTAAGGAAGTCAATAAGGAGTCCATGGCGGGTTTCGTCTGGGGAGATTATCTAGAGGCAGTCGCTGCTGGTTGTTTACTTGTGCCGATTCCCCGATCCGTATATATAACAATAGCCAAACCTGTGGTTCCAAGCTCTGAAATTTGCAAGTAGTTTTCAGCTTGCTGGTAAGTAAACCTCTGAGAATGAGGAGAAGGCAGGTCGTTGAGGTTAGGAGGGCAGTACCTTGGGATAGTTAGTGTACTGTACCACCGAAGGGTATTAGATTAGTAAATTGACAGTTGGTGACTTTCTCAGTCACACATTTCCCCAAGGAGGGGGGGAGATAAGTCTTTTTCACTGCCGGCTTTCCCGTGACATGAGACGGAACGAAGGATTCCCCATGTTGTCGTGATACAACCCCTCAATCCGCCGAGAACGAGCACACGATACGAGCCGATCATGACACCAACAATCCATATGTGGGCACAAAATGTACTAGTTATCCGGCTTCCTCGGGATTGTTGGGGTCTTCAAAGCACGATCTCGCGGAAGTGCTACCCGGACGCGGGGTGAGGTGCAGTTTCGCCATATCGATTGCGCATGAGACCATCGAAAATGCATCAGCTTTTGTATGGTCAATCGCGGATTTGGAGAAGCATGATTGATAATCCCCCACACAAACCGATCAAACCGGGCCAACGTCTATCGCTCTGCCTCACAGAATCTGTACAAGATAGGCAGGAGGGAGGGTGGATGGTGGGTTTCGGAATATTTAACATCCTCAAGAGTGTAGAGGTCATGATGCAGTACTTATCATCTGGTACCTAGGTATAGGTAGGACAGCTCAACACCCCTTCCCCTCCGAGAGCTCACATCAAGTCTCGACCCAACAACAACCATGGCGCCAGCATCCACCATTGACACTGTCGCGGAGCCCGTCCGGCCCAAAAAGAACAGCCTCGACCTCCCTGAACCCGCCCTCCAGCGGCTGACCAAGGCCGGCATCGACCTCTCGGGCGGTTACCCCTACCGGCCCGTCGCTCCTCTGTATCTGCAAGAGGTCTACAAGATTCGCGGCGAAGAACGCCACTATCAGGATGCTGGTGCTAGAGCCGACAAGTCTAAGAAGAACTTGCTCTCGGCCGCGACCAAGGTGACCGATCTCACCACCCATATTGGGACGGAGATCGAGGGCATCCAGCTCAAGGACCTCACCCCCGAGCAGCGAGACGAGCTGGCTCTGCTTATTGCTGAGCGGAGCGTCGTATTTTTGCGAGACCAGGACCTTACACCCCAGAAACAGAAGGAGCTCGGCGAATGGTTCGGCGAGGTTGAAGTCCATGTAAGCAACCCCCCTTTCTTTTTTCCTCAGAATTCTCACAGATTCCCCTGAATTTTGCCATCTGTTTAACCCTTCAAACTCGTTAATCTGTCAAACCTGCCCAGAAAAGCCTAGCTAACACGACACGCACAGCCCCAAGGTCCCCAAGTCCCACAACTCCCCGGCGTAACCGTGATCTGGCCCGACCTGCAAGCCCAAGACCTAGGCCGAACCTCCACCTTCCGCCGTCCCGGGGGCGCTTCCCAATGGCACACCGATCTCGTCCACGAGCGTCAGCCCGCAGGCATCACCCACCTCCACAACGACACCGTCCCCCCTCTCGGCGGCGATACCCTCTGGGCATCGGGCTACGGCGCCTACGAGAAACTCTCGCCCGCGTTCCGGGCGTTTATTGACGGGAAGAAGGCCGTCTATCGCTCGGCGCATGCGTATTTGGACCGGGAGAACCCTGGGGCTGGGCCCAAGTTTGTCGAGAGGGAGCACCCCCTGGTGAGGGTGCATCCAGCGACGGGGTGGAAGGCGCTGTGGGTAAACCGGTCGATGACGGTACGGATTGTGGGGTTGGACCAGGCCGAGAGTGACTTGGTGTTGGGGTATTTGTTGGATGTGTATGAGAGGAACGTGGATATCCAGGTCCGGTTCCGGTGGACACCGGGTACGAGCGCCTTGTGGGATAACAGGTCAGTAATCCCTTGTCGTATTTCTCTTTAAATGTCTAGTAGCTGTTTGGAGGTTTAACAGCCCCTGACTGACTGACCGACAACCGACAGAATCACCATTCACAATGCGAGCTGGGACTACGGCGGACGACATCCACGCCACGGAACTCGAGTCACCTCGCTTGCCGAGGTCCCGTACTTTAATCCCAATGCTCCCACACGCAGGCAAGCTCTAGGACTTCTTGACGAGGAAGAGAAGGAGACCCTTGGGGTGAATGCCGACTCGTAGGGTCCTTGTGCCTAAGAGGCCTATGCTCACTCCAGGAAGAGTTCGTAGCCTGTAATAAACTCATTGATTGTAGCTTTGAGAAACTAGGTAATAGGCAGAAATAAATCCCCGGTCCTTTCCACCTCCTCTTAAGCGAACTTTTAGGTCTTCATCCGTCGTCGTAAATGACCCACGGTGAAATAGCCCTAGATGCGCGAATGCCTGGCTAAATCGGCAAAGAGAAAATAACAAATCGACCGCGAATGGTGCTGAATCGTGCCGGATGGTGCTGGGAGGGGGTCTTCAGCAATAATAAAAGAAAGAAAAGAAGAAGGAAAAGGAAAATTAAAGACTCCTATGCGGTGTTGTTCCATGCCATGCCGTCGGCCCTTTCCCTGGGCGTAATCCGGGAACGACAAGCCCCCCCCTCCATAAACGCGTAGTCCACCTCCTTACTCATCGTCTTCCGACGAGTCACCCGAAGACTCACTGTCGGTGTTAGGGTCGCTCTCGTTACGGTAATCCTCATCGTCGGGATCCTCCTCGCCCCCCTCATCCACATCACTCTCCGAGTCCGCATCGTACTCATCATCACTTCTCTCCCCATCACTCACGTCCGCTCTCTTGGATCTCGTCAGTTACATCACTTCCAAATCTTCGCTCGAAAGATCCCCCTTTTCCCCACCCAGGGCCTCACATATCTCGTCCATGGTCACGCCACACTCTTCATCGCCGCGCCGACAACCCACAGCAGCAGCAATGGCTTCCCGCTTCCTAGCTTGGATGTTAAGGACGGTTTCGTCCATGGATCCCGCAACCAGTAACCTGGCAGTATGCACCTGCTTCTGCTGCCCGATGCGGTGGACTCGGGCAAACGCCTGGCGCTCCCAACCTTCATGCCACCAGTGATCATACATAATCACGCGGTTGGCTACGGTCAGGTTGAGACCGTGAGCGCCGCAGGTGACCGAGATGAGCTGCGGACCGTGTTAGTAGATTAGTTGTCCGTGTCCTAACTAGCTGCTGAAACCTACGGTAGTTATAGGCGCGGGTTGGCTTACCAAGATCTTGATGTCCGGGTTCTCCTGGAAAGCCCGGATACACATATCCTGTCGGATGGGGTTCATCTCGCCCCAGAGGTAGACGAACTTGAACCCATTCTGGAAGACCATCCTGCCCAAGATAGCCAGGATTGGAATCCACTGCGCGAACACTGTATTAGTCTACAATTAGCCTCTTCTTCTTCCTTTTTTCCAAGTCCCCGCTATCAACCAATAGCAACTGGGTTTAGTTACGTACCGATGATCTTGTCGTCCGGTGCCTCCTTGTGCCTGTTTGGTAACCGTGTCAGCCATCCACCATCCACCTACCCTAACAACCTCTCGCCACAAGAGTGGACAAATGAATACCTACCACTTCAAGATCAGGTCTATAGCTGCCTTCGTCTTGGCACAGTGTGGGATGGGTTCCCAAGGTCTTTTGTCGCAATCTCTCAGGAAAGTCCCTGCGTTGCGCCCGACATGTCTGAGCGTGCCCGCACCCTTGATCGCTCGCTTCTTTCCTTTTGCTGCCCTTTTCTTTCCCCCACGCTTCGCCTTCTTGACCGGGGTCTTGGGATTTAGCCGCGGCTGTATGCCGAGCTCGTCGTCTCCAGGCTTCCGCACGCGTTTCTTGTTTCCCTTGGGACCCAGACGATTTCCCCCAACCGCCCTCTTTACCTTTTTGAAGTATCCCAGGGGCTGGTTGTAGCATTCACCCCCTGTTACCTCATATCCGTTTGTCAAGTCTTTGCCGCAGTCAGGGCACTTCCCTGATTTCCGCAGAAGGTTCGCCAGGCAAATCTTGCAAAACGGGTGGCCGCACTATATAGGCGCCCCGCGCCAACAACGTCAGCAGTTGCTCCTCATCCCATATCCCAAGTCCAGTCCTGGGAAAGGGACTCAAAGCTCTCTCTTACCTCCGTCATGTGGGGCCGGGCTAGTACGTTGCGGCAAGACCTACAGAAATAGTGAAGATGGCCATGCTGCGCTTGGGTGTGCCCGTGTCCCCTCCCTCAGCGTGGCCGCGTGTTTCTTCGGTGTCAGTATGCTTCCGATCTATAGTGTCTCCGGGTATCACCATCCTGTCGCCAGCGGAGTCCTGATTCTCGACATTCTCCAGGTGGCTGGTAGTCCTCCCCGTATTGTCGCTGTCCCCTTTGTCCCCGTAAACCACACCATCCCCTGCCCACAAATCCCGAGTTCTCTTGAGCTTGGGCCGGGTTCAAAGGGGTAGATAAAAAGTTGGGATCGATCAGTGCCGGATGGGATGGGAAAAATCTCATGGAGTTCAACAGCTCCCTAATTCGCCCAGGCGGCCTTTGATTGCCCGGCGTCTCGCGGAGGGATTTGAGCTCAGCCTGGAACCTTTTGTGAATCTGCTCCTCGAGAGGCGAGAACTTGACTATAAGCACCTCGGGCGGCTGGCGTTCGGGGACTGGGAGAATTGGCCAACCCATAAATCTATCCTCGGCACATCTTCAATCCTAGGCGTCAGCGATCTAGCAGCAAATTGGCTGTAGCAGAGGCCATGAGGTGGGGTTTGGGAAGGTGCGGCCACGCGAGGGGTTTTATCAACTTACCGTTTCAGTGACATATCGTTGTAGGTTGCCCGAAGTTGTGCCTTCTGTTGTTCCTTTTCCCCATATGAGCGGGACTGAGGATATCCCGTACGGATAGGTGTAAACTTACATCGCCGGCATCACCCATAGAGGCTCGAAAGTCACCGTAGCCCTCTACCATAGACCTGACAAAGTCAAGATACGGGAAGAGCTCTGCAAATCCAGGTAGTCAGCAAACATATCAGCCTCCTACCAGGAAACAAACCCACCGTCCGTCTCGTCATGGGGGTGCCGGTCAGAGCCCAGCTATACTTCTTGCAGAGAAGCCTGCACGCCCTTGAAGCTGCTTGTCGGTCAGAATGGTGTACTTGGTAGAGTAAGACTTGCCACAGGATGTGGAAGAACTTGAAGACTTACATTTGCTGTCCCTGTTATTGATATAGTGGGCCTCGTCAAGGACAACGCGGAACCAGTCAATTTCGAATAGAGGACCCTTGCAATGCTTTTTGAGGACGGATTTCCACTTCTCGTCGCCATCTTGCTTTAGTTCCTCAACCTCCGCTAGTCTTTTACCCGAAGGTAGTTGCCGTTGGACCTGAGCATAATTCGTGAGGCTGAAACCTAATGTCAGTCCAGCTCTTGTGGGGACGGATGCACTGCAACAATAAGAAATTCGGAGCTTACATGATTTTAAACTTCTCCATATCCACCCTTTTCAATCCCTTCTTTGCGCTGTAGATAATGGCATCTTTCCAATTTCGACCTACCATGTGATTCTTGATTTCCTCCTCCCACTGCTCCAGGAGTCTCTTTGGCACAATGATGAGAGTTGATGCTTGCTTAGCTCTCTTCGGTGGCTTGTTTTGAGACATGCAAGCTAGGACCTGAATCGTCTTTCCGAGGCCCATCTCATCCGCAAGAATACCCCCTTGAGGGGCGGTCTCTTGATGTTCTTGGCTCAGCATCCAGGACACTCCGATTACCTGGTGGTCATGGAGAGATGTCCCAAATTCCTCGAGCTTCCATTTTCCCTCCGCCTGCTTGCACCGTCCAGGGCCGAATGATGACACTGCCTCTCCGAGCTGCTTACGATCTTGCTCGGCTTTTGGATCGTCACCATATGTGTCCTGTCCTGGCATCGCCCCATCCGAATGGCCGAGGCCGGCGGGCAGAGATGGGATTGTGTCCGGTCCCTTTTTGTCCGGAACCATCGATAACTCATCGTCTTGGTGGTTCTTGACGGGTGTGTGTGGCCCAGCAGGCTAGGGTTCCGGTGATGAGCCGGTGTGTTGCTCTGGCTGGTGTCTTTTGGCGTCATGGCTGCTCTCGGTGCCATTGTCACTCTTCCGCTTCATACCCGAAAGTGCGGCTGGGGCCTCGCTGGTTGGCTTACGGGTACCTGTTTTGTATTAGCACACCCCCAGGGGCAGAATAAAACTAGTAACTCGACAGCAGGGCTAGGGGGGCACGTACTTGGCGGCGGCGTGGGATATGATCCGAATGTGTCGGAAGATTGAGCTCTGGGAATCTCAAGACACTGGCTGACGGGCGCAGCGCCGTCCGCACCGGCGGCCTCATCTGGTGGAGCGGCCATGGTTGGTCTGAAAGAGTGGGATGGGACCCGAGAAGCAGGATAATATGAGAAAGTGGAAGGGTGGAAAAAACACAGACGAGGCTAAACTTGAAACTTCCGAGGAAGGTAGAAACTTGCAGGAGGTCCCACCGGTCCGGTGTTGGGGTAAATATGAAATTATCAGTTCTGATGTAGTTGCGACCGTAGTTCAGGTACGGTGGTTATTCTGTCGGCATTCTCTCGATAAACGGGCAGTCTAACCCAAAGAATGCCCTGCTTTCACCGATCTGGTGGTGAACTAGGATTGTTAGCTTCAATGCAGAGCGGAGAGTGAAGTTAAGCAAGTCGGGGTTTATGGTAATTGGAAATAAAGTTGAGTTGCGGCAAGAAATGTAGGATTTCAGATGTCGAGGGAGTTTCCATACGCGGAATTCTAGTTAGATGGCTTTGGCATACCCGCCCAGGCTTGGGGAACAACAGGATGCCAAAGAGGTTAGTTTGTTGATCATGGAAGAAATCCGCGAGGATGTGATGAGGTTAGTGGGAAAGAGTCCGGCAAACCGGCAGCAGTTGTGATATCTCTTCGCCTGTAAACGGTGAGCGCGCATTGGCCTAAAGTGCCCAAAAAGAGAGGCGCAGAAGTCAAGCACTTTATCTCGTAGGTTGGATGTAAGTAAATGTTGAGGCGAGAAGTTTTCTTGCCCAGAAGCTGGGCCGGGAGCGACTCTGTGTCCCTTGCTCAAAGGACCGTTAGAAGTCTCGCATTCTGATTTCTCAAGTTTTGGCTTAGGTTATCATCCCGAGGGGAAAAGGTGGTTTGCCAAGTACAGGAAATATGCAGAGGGCATATGTGGTAGAGGGAAAGAACGGGCTTGTTAATGGGTGGTCAATAGTAAGTGCAAAAGGGCCGGTGGTTTTCATTTTCAAAGCATGGGTTACCTATCTACCTAACTCATCCATATAGTACGGAACTCATGAGGTTCACATCGCGGCTTGGGCTTTCCGGGTTCCGGGCCTACTAACCTCCTATCGTACATATCTGGGGTGTTGTCAAAATGTATCTTTAGGGATGTTTAGAGCGGGATGTGATACTACCACTAAGACTCGATCATAACTGGACATGGAGTGAGCCGTCTGTTCCGCTACCCCTGAGCATAAACAGCGACTTTCAAAACCGTTGAGATTGAGGGACGGCAGCGTTATCCGTAACTGTGCGTTTATTATACGGTACACTCTCGTTCATGTTGAGAAATGGGCGTATTCTCATTGTGGGCTTTGCCCAAAACAGGTCGACAGTTGGTTGGTCTAAATATAACGTTAAACTTGACACCCCAACACTTTTGACGGACGTTTCATTGTCTCAGCCTCATGCTCGGCGTCGTTGCCGTGTGCCGGCATTTCCCCCTTGGTCAATGTCTTGCAGAGTGATTGGCCAATGTTGTGACGGCCAAGGAGAGGACTCAGGTGAACCAGGCACGCCAGCTTGGCCAGCATGGCCAGGTACCAGGGGCGAATGGAGGGTTGGTTTCGGACATCCAGGGACCCACTTAAATTTCGCGTGCAGCATGCAGCCCTGTGGTTAACCCACGGTATCGTGCAGATTGCTGCTGTGCCCCTGGCACCTCCATGTGCCGCGTCTGCGGTCACCAACATGTCCATCTTCCTAGGTACCTTACATAGCCGGGAGCATCCTTATGTATTGCATTGTTAACATGTTCTTTCAACCTAGAGCCCAATTGCCCACATTGCACTCAAAGTAGGCTCGTCCATTGGCATCAGGAGACAGACCCGACTACCCACTGAGTGTTTCGTGATTCTCTTCCGACTGCGCTCAACCTTCGAATTAACTAAAGATGCCCGGCGAAGGGTCCGAGGGTGGAACGGCCCCCATCTCGCGCGATTTCGCAACTACCACCACCTCCTCGTCACCACCACAACCGCAACCACAACCACCACGGCCGCCGCCCGGTCCCGCTCCATCTCCGCCCACGGCGCAATCGCCTCAGGATCCAAGTGGAAGCAGCAGCGGAGAAGGAGACTCTCACATCCACTATGCGTCGAGCTTGGATCCCGGCCTTTCTAGGACTGCCCAGTCCGACTCGGTCATTGAAACAACGATGCGCTCCCTCGCCCGTTCTGACACTGAAGCCGAAGCCGCTCTAAGTCCCGGCATACGGCGCCGTATGACCCGCGCCGGGACTTTTAAGACCGTCGATGATTTTGAGGACTTCGACTTTGGCCCTGGCTGGCATCGTATGTTGACGCCTCGACCACAATCCCCTCCCGCACCATACTGCCTATTACCTTGACCATTAACAAGCCTGTGTCTAGCCGGTGCCGAACCCGGCGTAGATCCAAGCAAACCCGACGGCGGCCATGCCTCCATGCCAACACTCCAAGCACCCTGCGATATTACCGTTGTCGATTTTTCCCAAGACCACCTCTCGATACAGAAGCTTGTCAACGGGACACTGGCTCCGTTTCTAGAGCGGCCGGCCCCCGAATGGTCAACATGCCGTTGGATCAATGTCAATGGGCTGAGTTGGGATGTTATCCAAACGCTGGGCCGCAGTAAGAACCTCCATAGGTTGGCCATTGAGGATATCATGAACACAAGGAACCGGACCAAGGCGGAATGGTATGTCGGGGTGGCGGTACCGGACCATGGTGACTGGGTTTGCTAACGATCTTCTCGCAGGTTCCCAACACATGCTTTCGTCGTATTGACGCTTCAAAAACTAGTCCGTCTATATGACTCGGATAGCGACGATTCAGACTCTGATTTGGAATCAGACGACGATGCGAGAAGCCGAAAAAGCGCCTTCAGCAGGCAGAGCGGAAAACCTGTTGGGAAGCTGTTGAAACGCTTCAGGAAGGCCGTCCGTGATAAGGGGTACAACGAAAAGGAGAAACACCCGAAGCTAGCCAAGCACGCCGTCGCTACCTCTCCTGGGGTCTATGTCAAGACTCAACCCACCGGATTCTCAGACCTGGCGGATATCAGTCAGCTTCGGACGCTCCAGCGCTACCAAGCCTCCCCCAACGACCCGCGAACCAAGTACATGGAGAAGCATTCCGCTCTCGCTTCCAGGCACCTAGCCGTGGCCTGTGAACAGGTGTCCATGTTTCTTACCGATGACAACTGCATCATCAGTTTTTTTGAGCAATCAGCGCAGGATATTGAGGCCCCCATCATCCGACGGCTTCAAACCAATGATACCATTCTTCGACAGTAAGTACCATGAACTTTGTACCAGAGCTCTTTTTCAGTGGACTATCGCTAACTTCTTGGCCCGCAGGTCATGCGACGCTTCCATGGTCGGACAGGCCATAATAGACGGGATCATCGACTTGGCGATTCCCGTGATCGCCTGCTACGGCGACGTAATTGGTGATATCGAGCTCGAAGTTCTCAACCGACCGAATATTGGGCACACCAAAAGCCTCTACATTCTTATCTCCGAGATGAACAAAATATTGTTGTTCATTAATCCCATCACAACGCTGATCAACGCCCTCCGTGACCATCAGGCGGACGTTCCCTCAGATGCTATCATGTCCCATCTCCTCGATCCGAATCATGGCGTCATCATCTCGCCGATGACCTACACCTACCTCGGAGACGTGCTCGATCATTGTGTTCTGATCACGGACACCCTAAACCAGCTCAAAAGCTCAGCCGACGGCATGATTGGACTCATCTTCAACACCATCTCCGCCCACCAGAACGAGTCCATGAGGCAACTCACTATAGCTACCATCATTTTTCTACCTCTGACGTTTTTGACTGGGTATTTTGGGCAGAATTTCGAGCCATTTACCGTCCTCCAGGAGGATATCAGTTACTTGTGAAGCCCCCATCCCCCATGTTTCGTGGAATCTGATTTTGAGCAAGGCAGCCACTAACTGTTAAGTAGTTGGAAAATTGCGATCCCGGTCACAGCAGTTGTTATAATCGCCCTGCTCTGGGAAGGGATCTATGATTATATTAGGGCGGTTCTTCAACAACGCTATATCCTACGGCTGAAGAGTAGCCGCCTGAAGAGGCGCAGAAGGCGCCCGACGTAAGTTTGCACGACAGCAGCGCAGGGCAGCGCTGTGGGGGGCTTCCGCTCTTTGTCTATCTAATCTTGCCGTCCGTCAGGGGAGGGCCTTTTTCTCCCGACATTCCCAGTCAGCGCTGTTCAGCATATGCGGCCCATAATGCCAATCTTATTCGTGGTTAGCGTTGTTGTTAAGTGGCTGCCCTCGCTTCGTGCCGTCCGCCCACCCGTTCCCTCTCGCCCGATATCGCCCGGCCGCGTGCGGCAAGTGGCGTCGTTACGTTTGGTGTATCTGTCTGGGGGCAAGACAAGGCGGGCGGAGCCGAACCACACTTTGTGCACGTGTCCCGTTCCTCGTTGAGCGGGACGGAGTTCCAGAGGCGGTGACTTAGGCGGTTGTGTGTTGCGCGCTTGTTCGTCGGTGAAGGACGCCAGGATACAACCTTCGAAGCGGATTTGGCTCGTCCATCGCTGGGTCAAAGTTTCGCGGAGCCCCCTTTTTTGGAACCCAGCTCTTGCTTGGTGGTTTCCCAGAGACAGTCGCTAGGGTCCCCGTTTCGCGAGTGTACACTACTGTGTACAGTACACTTCACGTTGCTCTCAGGTTCTGCCCGACACAACACACCTTGCGGATGACCTCCTTGCCTTTTTTCTTGCCTCCTGCCCGTGCCTCACTCACCACGATCCAGCTCGGCTACGGATACTCGACTGTGGACCAAGATTTGACACCATTTTGGAACTCGCTCTCTTTTCCTTTCTTCTGCGCTCCATCAACAAGGCCGCGCCTTGTTGGGTTGGCGGTCGCCCTGCCCAACCCTGCCGTCAGCCGGGCTGGTCCGTCCGTCTAGCGAGTTGTGGGGGAGCTGAATACGAGAAGCTTGGCCGTCGATCACACCCACACTCGGCACCCGCGCTCGCCGCGCACCAGGATCCTGTTGTTCGGTTCGGGATTTGATTGGGGGCTATTCTCGCGCAACGTCATGATTTGTCCCGGGGAGAGGTGACTTCTGAGCTTATTTACAGTTGTACAACACAACACTATCCGTGAAGAATAATGTTTTGGAACTTTTGGGACAAGATGATGGCAGGTCAATTGGAGTGTTCTAACTCCGGAAGCAGCGCGGGCTAGTTGCGGACCCGTGTTGAGCTGATATGTAATCTCTCACCAGGAAATCGCTTGCGTTCACAAGCGCCTTGCGTCTCCAATTGACAAAACGTTCATGGAACCTTAAAATACGAGATACTCAAGTCTGTACCCCTGTCGGCTCTCCCCACGTTGCTTGTCGGCGATGCAACGTCCAGCAACCACCGAGTGCCGGGGGACGATGACCCGCCGATGGGGGATGGCGATTCTATAAAGCTTGTCCTTGGCCACCACTGAACGACGATTTATCGTTGTTCCATACGCACTGAGGATTTGCGCGCCATTGTACGGATACCCGCTGTTCACTGGACCGCCCGACAAACGACAAACCTTATCTCAACAAGATGTCTCGGTTCACACTCGCTGCGGTTGCCCTTGCCGGGCTGGCTAGTGGTGTCCTCGGTGCTGATCTCAAGACATGTGGTCAGACGCAGTACGACCCAGCTCAGGTACGTTGAATCATAAAGCCACCGGGATACGGCCACACGCCACACCACCAATCACATGCTCATCACCGTCTGTTGTCTGCTAGTATGTCTGCCACGAAAACCAGTTCCTTTGCCCTATTACCGCCGGAGAGCCCCTCTCGAACTGCGCCGGCGCGTGCTACAGCAAGTTCATGTACTCATGTACCGACAACGTGCTCGCCCTCCTGCCCGCCACGTCAATTCCCTTCACCCTAACCGCCGACAACCCGGGGCTGCCTATTCATGGCAAACCTGTCACCGCCTCAGACTTCCACTGGACCATCAACGGCGAGACGAAGTCGTACTGCCCGGACCAGGTCGGGGACTCGTGCCCCAAGGGCGACAAGACCATCATCGCTGCTGGCGGTGGTGGCATCTCCATGAATGTCATGGTCCCCGGCGGTCAGCTGGCGTTCCTGGATCCCTACTGGAATATTGGCTATACCCAGGCACACTCTGCAAACATTCCGTCTGGGAGCGTTACCACGGGCTTTGCGGCGCTGGAGGGCGGCGGCCTGATCAACCTGAACGGTGCCGGCTGGGGCTGGGGCGCGTGCCCACCGCGCGCGTCTGGTGGTGGTGGCCCGGCGTGGAACTTGGTGGCCAAGAATGCGACGAACGCCGAAAAGTACGCCGAGTGCCTGCCGATTAACCTGAAGATCAATTCGGTGGCGAGCGGGACTATTGGTGCATGGCAGTACACATAGATGTGATGCCAGCCGGAGCGTAACGTGTGGTAGGGCTTTTGCTTTGACAGAGGACTAGGCATAGCAGTACATTCATATGGTTTAACAAATACCTCTGACAAGCTGAGACCGTGTTTGCCGTTGTATGGGTGTTCATGTGTCCCTGTATGCAGTGTCAGTGTAGTAGCTGCGGGACGCTGGTCTTGAACAGTTTTATCCTCTTGTATTTTCCAATCAAGAAATAAAATATGCACACGGACCTCCACGGACCTCTCTCCGGGGCCGTAATCCGTGAGGAATCGACGGCCGCCGGGGTCGCGGCGCCGCTTCTATGGCGCTCTATCCTCTATGAAGCATAGCTATGTTGAAGGAGGCCCGAAATCTACAAACCTGTTCCGTCGCCGCACATGCTGGGAACCGCACCCCGATCTTGGGAGCAGGGTTGAGTCGGGGGTGTCCTCCATACGGTTCCTGTACCCACCCCGCCGCTTAAACATGCAAGGTTCTCCTTAATCTCGGCCGAGGCGCTCCTCGTCGTCATCCCTGAGCTCGTACGCTGGCCGGAACGTCGACGTATCCCCACTCACCGCCAGGGCCGGGTTAGGCCGTGTGTTTGTGACGCCACCGAGAGAGGTGAAGCCTCGGTTGTACAGCTCACAAAACGGTATCTGGAGGTGCCTAATGAACTACGGGGGGAAGTTAGTAACCTGTTACAAACATCGTGTCACGTAATGCAGAACGACGCTAGTCGTTGACTCGATTCGACTCACAGCCCAGATATCAACGTAGTGCCAGTCAATGACGGGGTGAATACGCATGAACTGCGGCCACCCTGCGTCAGTCGGGTCGAAATGTGTCAGGAACTCGCCGTGCGGATCTGTCCGCCGGGTGCCGAGGAAGATCGCCTTGACGCCGGGACACTCGTGCAAGTATGCCTCAAGCGCCGGTCGCATGGGGAGCGCATAACGCTTAAGATCCAGGTGGTACTGCTTGGCAGATTCCGCCACAAAGTCCTCAACTTCGGCGAACGGGTCGGAGGAAACAATATATATCGCTTGGAGGTGTTGGGATGGAGATTCGGCATGTGATGCCGGCGTTCTCTGGGGCCCCGCGGGCGATGCACGGTCAATTATCGGAGCGAGATGTGACTCCGGGGAGGACTGTGGCCGGGAGAGGGATTGGGGCAAACAGGCGAGGATCAATACGAGGAGGACGAGACAATCTTTGCCGCCGTTGTACGACAGTGAGAGTTGATCGGAACTTGATAACAATGGCGATAGACGTTAGCTCGGCTGGCCTTGTTCTATCACGGGAAGACACTCGACTACCGGCCCACCTTCACCTCGGCCTTTGATCATGTATCGTTCCAACCCAGCACCTACCCATAGCGGCGCAAAGCATCTCGAATCACACTCATCGATACCCCGACCTGTTCCTGAACTCTCCGCAGGACGGGGTCATCGGTCTTTTCGGAAAGAAGCGCATCGACCTTGGCCTGGAGCTCGAAGCAGACCGCGGGAAGACTGCGTGGTTCTTGAGGCCCCGCACCACGTGGCATTACCTCAATTTGGTCGTGATCGTTACTCTCGCCCTGGGTCGTGTCCTTGATTCGCGCACCGTGCAGAGATTGGTAATCCGAGTCTGTGGTCATCGATTATGTCTCCGGAATCCGAAAGGCGTGCAATAAATGAGGCGAGGCAGTATATCGAACTAGCAGAAGTAAGCGATCGGGGCGTTACGTCGTTACCTGCCTTCGGCATGACACGGGCGTCCCGAGCCGAGCGGGGCATTGGGACCTCGAAATGTGGGGTGGGGCAGGTGAACAGGCAAGGAGTCGAGAGACACAACAAAATTGTTCGGGCTTCAAGTCCAGCTCAAGTTATGGGTTTACAGCGGGTGTTGTCTCTGGATCACGGGCAGTTCCATATATGAATACATTCTCGAGCATTTATAAATGAGTATGAGTTTAGAGACCTTCCAGGTGGGAAATATCTATATAGACATAGAACATATCAGATGTAACGAGACTGTGTAAGAGTTGTTCTAACACTGATGCTAGGGGCTGTGGCCTTATAACAAATAGTAAAGAGTTTATAGCATGGTGTAAGATACAACGCTATATTGTAACGAATTGTCTGTTACTCTAAAAGGGTTCACTAAAAGTATCGTATAAGAGCTGTAACCTAGCCAAGGCAAAGGAGTTACGATAAATGTGCAATCTAGATTTAATATTTATAACATTAGTAGTATGAAATATATGTTTCATATAGCTTTAAATTTTACTCTTGAGTATTTATTTAATTACTTTAATATAGCCTCTATTATATATTAGATTAATTAGTTCTAGTTATCAACTATCCAATTAGTACAATTCCAGGCCAAAGTCGATGAAACCACAACCATTCAAGAGCACTTAAAACGCTTTAGACAACAATACCAGTTATACTAAGATATAGTCCATAGTATAGCGATAGTAGATGGTATAAATTAAGGGAATGCCAAGAGATACTAACTATATTAATTATATCAACTATACTAGATATGGACTGTGAAGCTACTAAACTAATTCTATAATAACTACTATTACCTGGGTAATAAATAAGGTATTGGCCTTTTAAATATACTTAAAAATATTGAGTAGTCAAAAATATATCTCAAACTGTCTATATTAATTAAAGTAATTATAGGATTAAAGTAACATACTTAACTAATATAATCTTGAAAATAATGGATATAGCTAACTTATACAGTAGTAAGAGATGAGAAGTCCCTATCGAGTAATCTTCTATTAGCAAATTGACTACTCTATATCTATTTCTAGATTTTCCTATAGAGTAATGCTCTATTAGTTAGTTTAATATTCTATATCTAATTATAATTTATATATAGTATAGTTTAATGTATTAAAGTCTAGTAATATAAGTACTAAGTCTCTTAAAATAGTATATTAGATTCTTTACAATATTTATATTTAGATATTCCCCTACTTACACTCTATCCCCTTTTTAATAAGCTTAGATAATAACGTATATTATAAGCGAGTGGATCATATAAGCGAGTGGATCAGTTTCCCCTACCTTCTGAACACTATCCTCCATTGTACTATAACAACACTATTAACCAACTACAATTACATCAGAAACAGCTGAATCAGACCCTTCTACAACCTCCTGGCACGTATGGGCATTATGGCCAGGCTTGCCGTACACACCACAGCACCGAACCTTTGTACAAGCCCCCCCTGTACCACCACTATCCGGCTCCTTTTCTTATACCACCTCCCCAACCACGGCCTTCTGGTCTAGTAGATCCATTGCATCTTATACTACAAGTGATCCTCTAAGCCGTATACGTATTCTTTTGGCTCTCCGGCGCTTACTAAGTGCCTCGTTGGCCTTACAGAGCGAAGAGACCTTGGAGCATAGGAGAGCCACCTTATATATTATAGCTATCGTACCTTTGGTAAGCTGGTCTATAGTAGCCAATATCGAGGTTAGGGAGCTGTTTTAATGGTTGGTAATGTAAGTCTTGATAAGTGTTAACTGCGAATCGGCTTCTTAAGGGTTATAGGGTATCTAGAAGACCTAAGGTTATAGAGTACCAGGCTATAAGGTTGGTGGTATTAGTATAGAAAGCTTAATATCTAGCTTAGAAAGTACCCTCTCTAGATTATATAGAACAAGGCCTATACCTATAAAGCTACCCTGGATATTGCTCTTGGTAATAGAGGCGAAGAAGGCTATATAAAAGGTGTAGAGGAACTTAAGCTTGTTTATATAGTTGATATATATATATATCAAGTCCTTAATCTGGCAGCTATATACCTACTTTAATAGCCTAAAACAGCTAATATCGAGTGGCTAGAGGAGGTAGGAGAAATATAGAGGTATATAGAGTATAATAATATTATTCTACTGGTAATAGAGCTTAAACTTAGTTGAGTAGTAGCTCTTATAGCCATTAAGGATCAATAACTGGTATTTTCCCTTTACCTAGGGTACTATATAGAAATTGAAGTACTTGATCTAATCTAGGCCTATAGCATTAGTAGTCCAGCTATTCTTAGTGGTTATAATATACCAGTCAGCTAGGAGGTTGTACTCGGTATACCAGTTAGCAAGGTGGTACTATATAACCAAGATGATAAAAGGGGGGATAGCCTAGCCAAGGGTATTAACGCCTTATATCACAGTTGCCTACTTATAGTTACCAGGCTAGGCTAGCTTTACCTTACTACAGCTATCCAAGGTTATAACTACTATACCTATAAAGATAATACCTATTATAAACCCAGTCTTATCGAAGTTATAGATATCGTTGTCTATAATACTATACTTAGCCTTAACGTTTCGTACAAAGGCAAACTACCTACCAATGACCTTTAGATCCTTATACTTGGCCCTCTAGTAGTTATAGCGACGTAACCAATATATCCAGAGGGCTGGCTAGCATTTGACAAAGTTATATACCCAGAGCTTGCTAACAGGGGGCATATCACATACATATAGTAGTTGGTTAGCCATATCTTCCATACCAGTAAGTCTTGGTAGAAATGCTCGTTCAGATAGCTTAATTATATATTAAACAATAGCCTTCTCTTCAGAATCGGTAAGCCGGCGCGAGTTGGGCGTAGTATCACGTCGTACAGGTCGGCCAGCATACCGGTGATAGAGGGTAGTATAAGGTATAGAATAGAGCTTTACTACAGCTCGAAGGCTCAACTTAGGATCTTTTTTAAGAGCCTCGACTATAAGAAATACATTAGGCTCGACTGAATTTAAAGGCATATTGGGATGGTGGAGGAAATTGGTGTTGGGCAGAGGGAGACGCGTCGCGTGAGAATTTGATCCACTCGCTTATATGATCCACTCGCTTATAATATACGTTAGTCATATAAGTTCCTTAAATTTCGAGATAAATATCTAAGAAAGTTAATAAATCAAATCTTTAGACTTCTTCATACTAATAAATATTAGCTAATATATATATATATATATTTACATCTTTTATAGTTTAATCTTAACCTTATCTAGTGACATTTCATACTTTAAAAAGACTATCTTTTACTTTTTCGTTTATTAACTACTTATATTTTAAAAGATTATTAGTATATTAATAATCTTAAATAGTATCACCAGATTCTCAAAATATCAATAGGATATTTTAAACGCTATCTTCTATTTATCTTTCTCTTTAATATAAATATAGACATATATAGTTAATAGACTCAAATAGGTAAAGTAGTTATTGTGGAACTATTTCTTTAATTTAATATTCTATTTTTTATTAATATAATAAACCTTAAAAAACGTTAATTAAACTCCTTCTTTAAGTTTAATCTTATAATCCTATGTTCTATAGTCTAACAGCCCTATAAAGTATTTAGCCTAGAAAGCTATATTCCCTTTATATTTTTAAAGGACATGACGTATTATTTTATTCTTAATACTTTCCCTACAGTAGATAAACTTATTATTTCCTACTTCAATATTCACTGCTTTAAGTTTATTAATCCTTTCTCCTTTAGATTTAATACTTGTTACTTTAACTAGATTAATCTAATATCCTATTATAAGCTTTCCTTTTTTATCAATAGAGATAATAGTGATTCTATATTCAGACTTCATCTTTTTTTATTGTTATAAACTATATTATATAGAATATAAAGTATCACAGGCATAGTGACCGGCAGGACCTAGTAGGGCGTAATAGCCAGGGATAACCAATCAGCCTAAGGAGGCTCTCCTGGCAGGATAGGATCAAAAGTAACATTTATAATCCTATATTAGCCAATCAAGAACGGATCATTAGATCAGGGTATAAAGCTATAATCTCAGATCATAGGCTTATAGAGGTATCCTTCGATCAAGGAAGAAAGGTATATACAGGGATATTAAAATACCTCCTAACTATAGATAGATAAATAGAAGTAAACTAAAGAACTCTAGGGGTTCTTAAATGATATGAGTTATGTATTATAACTTACTCGATATAGTAAACATTAAGACTAGATTATTATCTTATTATAAACCCTTTAGCTTCAATAAATTATAACCCTTAAACCTTACCTTTAGTAAACCTTTTTAAAGTATAGTTAAAAGCGATTTATTATAAATTATTTACTCCCTTTAATTCTGTTCTAGTTTAGATAAAGGTATATTAGATACTATAAATATTATATCCTTTAAAGTTAATATACCCTCTTTTAGGCTTCTTATTAACAGTGTAAAAGCTAAGAAACTATTTATTAAACTCTAGAACTAGATTACTAGCTTCGAGGAGGAATTTAAAGCTAACTAGTAAATTATTAATAAAACGAACTATAAACTTAAGTCCTATAATAAAGCAAAGATTAAGCTTAAAGCCTTTAATAAATATAACGATAAAAAAGAAGATTTCTTATACTTCCTTATTAAAGCTATTACTTATATAAAGTACTATAATAATCGGTTTAGCTTTAAATATAGTAAGATATAATATATAGCTTTTAGACTTAAAGGATAGGCTATGTAATAGTTTAAGCGTACTTTAAAGGATTATATTAAGAATATCTTAGAAGAGTAATAGGAGTTTATGTAATAGGTTTTAAAGACTATATATACTTTAAAGAAGAGTTTATAAAGATATTTAAAGATAGAGATAAAGAGGTCT